GTCGTCACGCTTGTTCATGTTGTGAGGGTGTTTCTCTATCTCGATGGCTTCCATGATTATTCTCTTGTGGTGATGTTCCATGTTAAAGAGCAATTTGGAATCTGCAAAATTAATTTCGTGTCCTGTTTCTTTCATGTGTTGGAAAAGAGAGGAAGTTTTTTCTTCTTTTTTGACGGCATTCTTGTGTTCTGCGATACGTGCATTTATTCGTCTGTTTGTTTGTCCAATGTACGTGGCTGGGCAGACTTTGCAGGGTATTTCATAGACCCCTTGGTTTTCCAACTGGATTTTATCCTTGGGGTTTCTGAGGATATTGGCTATTTTTTGGTTGGTGCAAAAGGCTGTTTTGATATTGTGTTTATGGAGGATTTTGCTAATTTTATCTGTAGTGCCCTTGATATAAGGAAGGAGGGCCATGCCATTGTTTTCTTCTGTGTCTTGGTTTTTGGGGGGTGTTTCTTTTTGGATTAGCTTCGTAACCCTGTTTTGCTGGTATCCATTGGCGATTAACACATTTGAGAGATTCTGTAACTCAGTTGTCAAGTGGTCTTTGTCAGCCAGGCGTTTTGTTCTGGAGATGAGAGTCTTGGCTACGGAGTTTATTTGTGCAGGGTGGTGGTGTGATTGTGCGTGTAAGTAGCGGTTGGTGTGTGTTTTTTTTCCGGTAGATAGTGTGTCCTAGGGAGCCATCAGGTTTTTTGTAGATTAGGACGTCAAGGAAGGGAAGTTGGTTGTTGGCTTCTATTTCCATAGTGAATTGTATTTTGGGGTGTAGGCTGTTGAGATGTGTGAGGAAGCTGTCTAGTTTTTCCTTCCCGTGTGGCCAAATTACAAAGGTGTCGTCAACATATCTGAGCCAAAGTTTGGGTTTGTGTTCTGACTTGTCTAAAGCATTGGTTTCAAAGTGTTCCATGTACAGGTTTGCGATGACCGGTGAGAGGGGTGATCCCATAGGTGCTCCTTCTATCTGTTTGTATCTTTGTCCATTGTGGATGAAGTACGTGTTGGTTAGGCAGTGGTTGGTCAGGTCCAGGATGTATTCGGGGGGATTGTATTTGTTTTGAATGGCTGTCAAGGCTTCATTAATGGGCACTTGTGTGAAGAGAGATACAACATCGAAGCTCACAAGTAGGTCATTGGGATGTAGGTTTTGCTTCTTTATTATTTCTATGAACTGGAAGGAGTTTGTAACGTGTGAAGAGATGGATTCTGCATAGGGCTGAAGTTGCTTAGCGAGAAATTTAGCGAGATTTTGTAGAGGTGAGCCTATGGAGCTGACTATTGGTCTGAGTGGTGTTCCTTCTTTGTGTATCTTGGGGAGGCCGTAGAGTTTGGGGCATCTGGATGATTTTTCTCTGGGGATGATTCTTAGCTGGATTTCTTCACTGATAGGAGAGGCTTTTATTTTGGATTTGGTGGTTTTTTCCAGATAGGTGGTAGATACACAAAGAAGGAACACCACTCAGACCAATAGTCAGCTCCATAGGCTCACCTCTACAAAATCTCGCTAAATTTCTCGCTAAGCAACTTCAGCCCTATGCAGAATCCATCTCTTCACACGTTACAAACTCCTTCCAGTTCATAGAAATAATAAAGAAGCAAAACCTACATCCCAATGACCTACTTGTGAGCTTCGATGTTGTATCTCTCTTCACACAAGTGCCCATTAATGAAGCCTTGACAGCCATTCAAAACAAATACAATCCCCCGAATACATCCTGGACCTGACCAACCACTGCCTAACCAACACGTACTTCATCCACAATGGACAAAGATACAAACAGATAGAAGGAGCACCTATGGGATCACCCCTCTCACCGGTCATCGCAAACCTGTACATGGAACACTTTGAAACCAATGCTTTAGACAAGTCAGAACACAAACCCAAACTTTGGCTCAGATATGTTGACGACACCTTTGTAATTTGGCCACACGGGAAGGAAAAACTAGACAGCTTCCTCACACATCTCAACAGCCTACACCCCAAAATACAATTCACTATGGAAATAGAAGCCAACAACCAACTTCCCTTCCTTGACGTCCTAATCTACAAAAAACCTGATGGCTCCCTAGGACACACTATCTACCGGAAAAAAACACACACCAACCGCTACTTACACGCACAATCACACCACCACCCTGCACAAATAAACTCCGTAGCCAAGACTCTCATCTCCAGAACAAAACGCCTGGCTGACAAAGACCACTTGACAACTGAGTTACAGAATCTCTCAAATGTGTTAATCGCCAATGGATACCAGCAAAACAGGGTTACGAAGCTAATCCAAAAAGAAACACCCCCCAAAAACCAAGACACAGAAGAAAACAATGGCATGGCCCTCCTTCCTTATATCAAGGGCACTACAGATAAAATTAGCAAAATCCTCCATAAACACAATATCAAAACAGCCTTTTGCACCAACCAAAAAATAGCCAATATCCTCAGAAACCCCAAGGATAAAATCCAGTTGGAAAACCAAGGGGTCTATGAAATACCCTGCAAAGTCTGCCCAGCCACGTACATTGGACAAACAAACAGACGAATAAATGCACGTATCGCAGAACACAAGAATGCCGTCAAAAAAGAAGAAAAAACTTCCTCTCTTTTCCAACACATGAAAGAAACAGGACACGAAATTAATTTTGCAGATTCCAAATTGCTCTTTAACATGGAACATCACCACAAGAGAATAATCATGGAAGCCATCGAGATAGAGAAACACCCTCACAACATGAACAAGCGTGACGACACATCCCGCCTGCCAGACATCTGGAAATTAGCCCTCCCCACAAAAACCGACACCAGATCCAGAGGCACACAGAACGCCATCACCAATCAACCACACCAGACCCAAACCCAGACCCTCTCCACAGATAAATCACAGACACCATCCAGTAGCCAAACCATGGTGGCACCTCCGGATGCTGCACCCCCCTGCAATCCCCACACAGATCTGGCTGGCACAGGACACAAAACCACAGCTCGCCCCTATACACGAAGCCAAGCCAGAGCACAACTAAGTGCAGTACAGCCATCTTCTCAGAAAAACTCTTCACAAAGTTCAAGAGGTCAAGACACGAAGGATTTAGCAACTAATCCACACCTAATGACCCACCTAAGTGGTACTCAGAATATCACTCAAGAAATCACTCAAGATATCCCTCAAGTAATTAAGGAACAAAAGAAGAAAAGGCACACTAGCCTGGGAACTTCCTCTCTGCCCAGAACATTGGAGGCTATACACCACACCCCCTCAACAGTATTTATAGGAACTCAAACACTGAGATCCTGCTCTGTTCCAGTAACAAGAAGCCGAAAGCACCAGCCTGAAGATGACGAGTGAGACCTCGTCGAAACGTCGCCTAGACACCCCAACTTTTACACGGGAAGACACCCGAGGACACCAAAACCTGCATATATATATATATATATATATAAAATAAATGTTCAGAAACGTACCAACCAAGCATGCACATACAGATATGTGGACCACACGTCTGGAATAGCACAGGAAGACCATCCTGAAACCATTTTGACTCCCAAACTGACCAAATGTTTTCTCTGCAAGGAGGGAGGGGGTGAGGGAACCTTCCCATTGTCTCAGGAATTAAGATATCACCATCTCAAAGGAATGGCCAGACCACCAGGAAAGGCAATCAGATAAGGCATTATCAGATAACCTGGCAGACAGGAAAAACAAAATCATTCAAATTTCTGTTGTAGATCACCTTTTCTGTGATGTAGGTATGATGTTTGTGGGTGGTGGTCTTGGGTTACACCCCTTCTGTGATCTATGTATGATGTATGGAGGGGTGGTCTTGAGCTCCAGGGCAGGGAATTTAAAATGTCTATAAGGGAAGGCACACCTTGGTTCTGGGTCCTCCTCCTTTCCTGCCCGTGAGGAGAGCACCCTGTTGCAACAGTTCAATAAAGATCAGGCTTACTAGTTGCTTTGCTTCTCAATATTCTCTGGTTGGCCTCTGTTATTTTCTCGTGCCGATGGGGAACCTACAAAGAACTCTATAAGGGCTCTTGTGTCCCCCATAAGGGAACAAGGGCAGATTTTGTTTACTACAGAAGGAAGAAGACATCTGAGCATATACAAAGTTTATTTCCCTCCCATCCACCAAATTCCAAGGGTTATAAAGAATTTCAGCTCTAGATTATTATTTTTTAAGTTGGAGTAATAAAGGAACATAGCTCAGTGTTAGTGCATCTGCTTTGCATGTAGAAGATCCCAGGTTCAATTTGCTATCCCCAGACAGCAGCTGCCAGTCAGTGCGGACAACACTGAGCTAGATTGCTGAAGGCCTGATTCAGTAAAAGGCAGCTGCATACCCTCCAACTTTTCTCCAATGGAAATAGGGAAGTCCCATTCCATAATAATAATTTTACTATTTATACCGCACACATCTTTCTTACTGGGTTGTCCCAGCCATTCCGGGCAGCTTCCAACATATAGAAAAACATAATAAAACATTAAACAGTTTTTTTAAAAAAAACATTCCCTATACAGGATTGCCTTCAGACGGCTCAGGGGTCAGATAACTCTATACACTCCAGGATAACTCCATACCCTCCGATGAAAATGGGGACATTTTCACACCCTCCAACATTTCTCCAATGAAAATAGGGACAGCCAAGGAAAAGTGGAATCAAATCAGAAACTGGGATGGCTTCTCTAAATCAGGGACGTCCCTGGAAAATAGGGACACTTGGAAGGTCTGCAACTGCCTGCGTTCCTAACGGAGAGATGCAAAGTGGCGTAGCGGTTAAACTCTAAAGTCTCGAATTAAGGCCAAATCCACACCACGCCGTTCAAAGCGCGTCCAGCATACATTTAAAGCGCACGGCTCTCTCGCAAGGAATCTTGGGAGCCGTAGTTTGTTAAGGGTCCTAGGAATTGTCATCTGCCAAGGGGCAACTACAGCTCCCAGGAAACCTCGGGGTAAGGCGTGTGGTTTCGTTTTGCGCGGCAGGCGCCTTCAGTGTGCAGGATGCTCCATCATGAGACCAAAGGTGTAAAGAAAGCATCGGGCCTCTGAGCATGTGCAGAGAGTAAGCAGCGCTAGTAGCACTGTGCAAGCACCCGGGTAGGGGACACTCAGGTCCTCCGAGGTGCCCCCGTCGCCGATCCTCATTTTCCTTTGGAGAGCCGCTAATCCCCGAGCTCCGCCTTGCCCTGCCCAGATGATGCTCCTCCCTGGAGAGCCGGGCTGCGGCGGGGCGAGGCTTGCCGGCCGAGGCTCCTCCGCCTTCCCTTCGCGGGGGCTCCGCCCGATCTGACGTGGCAGCGGCTCCAGCAAGCCGGAGGCCGCCGCGTCCGGAGCGCAGAGCGCACAGCCAAGAGCGCAGAGCGCAGCGCGCGTCGCTGGAGTGAAGGTGCCCGATGGCACGTCCGCGCTTCGTGCTGCTGGTGGCGCTGGTGGTGCTCTCGGGATCAGGGCTGCTCCGCGGCTACGAGCCGGACTGGCGCCGCCTGGAGGGCCTGGCGAGAGGGAAAGTGGAGGTGAGGCCAAGCCTGGAGGGCGGAGGGAGCTGGGTACCTTAGAGCAGTGTTCCCCAACCTTGGGTCTCCAGCTGTTTTCGGACTGCAGTTCCCATCATCCCTGACCACTGGTCTTGTTAGCAAGGGATGATGGGAGTTGTAGTCCAAAAACAGCTGGAGACCCAAGGTTGGGGAACACTGCCTTAGAGCAGTGTTTCCCAACCTTGTGCCTCCAGCTGTTTTTGAACTACAACTCCCATCATCCCTGACTAGCAAGACCAGTGGCAAGGGATGATGGGAATTGTAGTCCAAAAACAGCTGGAGGCACAAGGTTGGGAAACACTGCCTTAGAGCATGTGCAGAGGGCCTGATGCGCCGGGGCCCGCCAGCTCCCTGGATTGAAGTCCCCACCCCAAGCAAATGTGGTCTCCCCACCACTTGACAGATGAAGCGTAAAATGCGCTGGACAGCCTTGAGAGAAGCGCTGGCTCTCAGCCGGAGCTTAGCCTCTCTCGCAGACTGTTGTGGGGTTCTGTGAACAGGCGGCAGTCACCGCCGCAAGCCTTTGAAATGCGGGCGGGACATTAGAAAGAATTAAGGATGTAGCGTGTGTGTTGTTTTTTAATGTTGCTGCTGTTGTTGAAAGGCAGTATATTGGGCGGGGGTCATAAAAAAAAGAGAAAAGTGAGATTTCCTTTGCAACAGATCATGCCAAACAACTAATAAGCCTAGCGTCAGACAGAGGTTGCGCAGAGCTTCCAAGAAGCATGTCTGTCTTGTCTTAGCTGTTCTTTTGCTATTCAGAGGTATACTGCCCTGGCATGTGGATTTTCTATTTTACCATCATTCAGAGGGATATACCGTGGTACCTCGGGTTACAGACGCTTCAGGTTACAGATGCTTCCGGTTACAAACTCCACTAACCAGGAAGTGGTTGCTCCAGGTTAAGAAATTTGCCCCAGGATAGGAATGGAAATCACACACCAGTGGCGCAGCAGCAGCAGGAGGCCCCCATTAGCAAAAGCACGCCACAGGTTAAGAACCGTTTCAGGTTAAAAACAGACCTCTGGAACAAATTACGTTCTTAACCCAAGGTGCCACTGTACGGGGTTACCCTAGTTGAAGCTTAGAGCAGGGCTTCCCACAGTGTAGTCTGCAGGCCATTGGTGGGCCACTGAAGTTTCAGGCAAGTCTGCGGACCATAATTCAGCATGTCTGCGAAGAACACTTACAGCTGGAATTCAGATTGTTGTACTATGGTTGACCTCTGGGACTCCCTGCCACAAGAGGCAGTGATGACCACTAACTTGGATGGCTTTCAAGGAAGACTAGACAAATTCATGGAGGAGAGAGAGGGCTATTGATGGCTTCTAGCCACAATGGCTCTGCTCTGCTTCCGCAGTCAGAAGCAGTGATGCTATTGAATCTCAGTTGCTGGAAACCACAGGAGGGAGAATTGCTCTTGTGCTCAGGTCCAGCTTGCAGGTTTGAGGGCCTCTTTGAGAAGGTGGTCTAGATAGGCCACTGGCCTGTTGCAGCAGGCTCTTCTTAGCGTTCTTAATGCTTCTGAACACCAGTTTGCATCTAGCACAGTGCAATAGAATTGCTGAAACAGGAGGGGAAAGTCACCTTCTAAAACCCTCTGCAATTTTCAGGTGGTCTGGGGCACAGAGGGGGGGGTGCAGTTTGAGAACCATGGGCTTAGAGGACTAAGGAGAAATTTGGTGCTATTCCCACATATTCCCAAGTCTGTCCTTGTAGCCATTTTATTTTAGAGGTGGGAGGGGAATCTAACAGAGCCCATTTATCCCTGAAGATGACGTGGTTGCATTGGTGGGGGGTTGTTTTTCAATCTGCTAACAGGTGGCCTTGGGCACACCTGCCGCGGCAGGTTCTGACAAGCCCTTGGAAAGGATTGTCAAGGGAACAGGGGCCGGGGAACAGCTGTTTTTTCATGGTGGAAGGGAAAGGCTGCAGAGGGCGAATGTCTTTGTGGGGTTGTCAACAAGTATCCTGGGTTGGCAGAGGTTTCTCCAAGAGCATCACTGAAACATGGAATTGTAGAGTTGGAAGGGACCCTGAGGAGCATCTAGTCCCCTTGGTGTCTCATACGGGGATCGAACCTGCGAACCTGGCGTTACCAGCCCCACGCTCTAACCAACTGAGCTGGACTCCCAACTCCCCATCAGACCCAGAAACCATCACAGTCAGTGGCCAAGGACAGTGGGAGTTGACAACACAAGAATAATAATAATAATAATAATAATAATAATAATAATAATAATAATAATAATAATATATTATAATAAATTTTATTTATATCCCGCCCTCCCGAAAATCATTCATTATAAAATTAATTAATTCAAGCCACTGGCAACCATTGGGCCAGAGCTCCGCGAAGATTGCCGAGGGAGGGAGTCAGGCCTGGTGGAACAGCTCTGTCTTGCAGGCCCTGCGGAAAGATGTCAAGTCCCGCAGGGCCCTGGTCTCTTGTGACAGAGCGTTCCACCAGATCGGAGTCACAGCCGAAAAAGCCCTGGCTCTAGTTGAGGCCAGTCTAACTTCTCTGTGGCCTGGGACCTTCAAGATGTTTTTATTTGAAGACTGTAAGTTTCTCTGTGGGGCATAACAGGAGAGGTGGTCCCGTAGGTACGAGGGTCCTAGACCGTATAGGGCTTTAAAGGTTAAAACCAGCACCTTAAACCTGATCCTGTACTCCACCGGGAGCCAGTGCAGCTGGTATAGCACCGGGTGAATGTGATCTCGCAGCGAAGACCTCGTAAGGAGTCTCGCTGCAGCATTCTGCACCCGCTGGAGTTTCTGGGTCAGTCTCAAGGGCAGCCCCACGTAGAGCGAGTTACAATAATCCAGTCTGGAGGTGACCGTCGCGTGGATCACAGTGGCTAGGTCAGGGCGAGAGAGGTAAGGAGCCAACTGCTTAGCTTGGCGGAAATGGAAAAATGCCGCCTTTGTTATAGCTGCAATCTGCGCCTCCATGGAAAGGGAGGTGTCGAAGATTACACCCAAACTCTTAACGGACGGTGCTGGCACTAATTGCGCCCCCGCAAGAGATGGGAGTTGCCCCCCCCAATCCCATATCGCCCCGTCCCAGCCACAGGACCTCTGTCTTCGAAGGATTTAGCTTCAACCGGCTCCCACGTAACCATCCAGCCACAGCTTCCAAACATCTGGTCAGTGTGTCTGGGGCCGAGTCAGAAGAAGAAGAGAGCACTCACCCATCCTTCAGTTTCCAGCCATTGCTGTCTCCAACTGTGGAGGCAGAGCACAGCCATTATGCCTAGTAGCCGTTGTTCCAGAGATTTAATTACGTGTTCCATCAATAAGCCCTATCTTTTATCTGTCCTGACTCTTCCCAACTTTCGGCTTCATTCGGTTTCTCTGTCCACTTCCTCCACACCTTGACATTTTTTATAAACTTTTATCGTGTCACCTCTTTATTGCCCTTTCTCTAAGCCAGGGGTAGGCAACCTAAGGCCCAGGGGCCAGATGCGGGCCAATCACCTTCTCAATCTGGCCCATGGATGGTCTGGGAATCAGCGTGTTTTTACATGAGTAGAATGTGTCCTTTTATTTAAAATGCATCTCTGGGTTATTTGTGGGGCATAGGAATTCTTCCCCCCCCCAAATATAGTCCGGCCCCACACATGGTCTGAGGGATGGTGGACCTGGCCATGGCTGAAAAAGGTTGCTGACCCTTCTCTAAGCTAAAGAGCCCTCAAAGCTGCAGGCTTTCCTCAAAGGGCAATCACTCCATCCTTTATCATTTTGGTTGCCCTGACCTGGGATAGCTCAGTCGGTAGAGCAGGAAACTCTTAATCTCAGGGCTTTGGGTTCGAGCCCCACATTGGGTAAAAGATTCCTGCACTGCAGGGGGTTGGACTAGATGACTCTTGTGGTCCCTTCCAACTCTACAATTCTATAAAGAAGATGCTGGCTGGCTGATGAGCTGTTGGGAGTTGGGTGTCGGACAACACCTGGAGGTCTGCAGGCTCCTCGTCCTTCCACTGCATGAATCGAGTCTGGATTTCTTGGGAAGTGTGTTTGTGTTTGATGGTGTATTCATATTCTATTTTCTCCCTTTTAAAGAGCTGTGGGGGATGACGGCTGAACCGCCTGCCAGAGGTAAGTGTCGCTTCGCTCCTGCTCGCCAACAACTATCACTCACTTCCCCTGGGTGAACAAGTGCTGCAACGGCTCATAAGACAGAACGCAGGGAGCCCAACAGTAGGTGGCGCCAGAGAGCCAACAACAGGCGGAACCCAACACATTCCAGGTCCCCCCCCCATCCTCTTCCCTGCCAGAACTGAGATGGAGGAGAAATAAACTGACAGTCATGTCCACCTCCTAGACTGACTGAAAGTAGGGAGGCGGGAAGGTGGGGACTGGCTGAAAGCAGTCTGGGGTTGGTGGGGCAGACTGGAGCAGTCTGGGGTTTCTGGGGAGCCACCACCGGAAAGGCCCTGTCACCAACAAAGCCTCGCCTGTTGATTGTAGGTTCAGAGAATAAACTGGGCTGGTGGGGCAGGGGGAGCCGTCTTATTCCATGTGTAATATTTGCATCTCATTCATTCCCCCCCCCCAGGCGAAGGCCTTCATCAATGAGGACTTGCCTCTGTAGTATCCTTTTTGTATGTTTGTGCAGGGCCTAAGCATTGGAGGTGGGGGAGGTAAAAGGGGGACATTAGCAGGGTCCCCAGGCAGCAAGCCCATCACCCCCAAATTATTTATTTATCCTCTCTGGCCCAGGAGCCCAAACTTGAGAAATTTTGAACTGCTGAGGCTGATGCCCTTTAGGATGCTGCCTGGGGCTGACGAGGGTCATAATCCAAAACCTCTGGACAGGGCTGTCTTAAGCATATGCGGCGCCGGGGTGCAAAGATCCGCCTGGTGTGCCCCCCCCCAGGTTGCCCAGTCCCAGGCGTGCAGGAGGGCGGAGCCAGCCAGCCGCCTCAGCGTCTCGCTGGGTCGGTCACCCCTGAACTCACGGCGCAGAGTCGCCCGCAGAAGAGCACACCACAGCGCTCCGACCGACAGGCGGGCTCCTCCCTGGACTCAATTCTCGGGCCCCGGACTCTCAGCCTGGCACCCCTGAGAGCCCGACGCCAAGGGGCCCCACACCCTTTGCGCCTATGGGTAAGACGGCCCTGCCTCTGGAGGGCCCCAGGTTGGCAGTCTAACCAGGGAGCTGATTTGCTAAACCTGCTGGCCAACGCAACAGAACTTGGGTGTCCTCACTCACCCTTGCCTGAAACCCCTGGAGAGATGCTGCCTGTCAGTGAAGACAATTAGAGAATGAAGATATCCTGGCAATAGAACAAGCGGGCTTCAGACCCGGAAGGTCCACGATAGATCACTGTCTAACGTTACAACATCTCATCGACAAATACAAATTGGGAGGGCAGGCCTCACTATGCGCTGCCTTCGTCGACCTAAAAGCAGCATTTGATACAAGTCTCCAGAACCAGACTCTGGGACAGACTACAGGGTACCAATATAGATAGAAGGCTCCTGCTCTTAATTCAGGCACTGCACGCAAACATGGCCCTTAGAGTCAGGTGCAGCCGCCTAAGACACCCAACGGACCCTATTAAAACCTTCAAAGGAGCCAGGCAAGGGTACCTATTGGCCCCTCTACTATTTAATTTCTATCTAAATAACTTAGTATCTGCACTCAATGACTCAGAACTCCACCCGCCGAAGCTTGCTTGCAGTGTAGACAATATTGAGCTAAATGAGCCAGTGTTCTGACTCTGTTAGACAGCTTCCTTTGCCCATACCCTACCACCTTAACTGCCTTTTCCAGCCACAACCTTGACATGAAGCACCTCGCTGGAGCAGACCCCGAACTCATCCTGTTGAACTCGCACTACAGAGAGCTGGAGGTGAGAGGGAGTTTTGATCTCCCCACACTGGTGTGAGGATTTTTAGCTTCAGGCAGAACTGGTAGAGGTGATGCTCTTCACGGAATATGCAATTGCAGGAATAGTTTTGCTTGTGTTTCTGAATCGAACCATCTCCCTAAGAATCATGGGGGTTTCTTTTGAAATCTTATTTTTCAAGGAGGTTTCAATGGCATCGAAGGGATGCTTGAAAGTATATGGGCAGCAGGTTGGTAAATCACAGCCAGATTGGTTATTTTTGTCCGGCAAGCCAGCGAGTGGGACTTTTAATTCCTCCTCTGCTGGACTAGCAAGATTAAGTTGCATAGCACTTTAAAAGCTCCATAAATATTCAAAAGAAGAGGGACGGGGTGCAGCAGGCTTTTGGGGGTTTCTCTTCTGGAATCCATCTGCCAGATTTCAGCCATGGGCAGGTAAGAGGCAAATCTTGCTCTGTGGTGCTTAACAGGCTAATTAATGTGCTGCTCACACAGCAAAGGAGCAAAGGTCCGTCAAATATGGGTGTAGCCAGAATTTATGGCGGGGGTGGGGCAGGACACACACCTGTCATCATCCTGTCTTAGCAGATTCGGAATGAAACGTCTCAGCAAGAGTTGTTTCAAGTTACTTTCCTTTGACCTCAAGCGTTCAGAAAAATCCGTCAAAATCTCCAGCCATTTGAAAACCAGGAAGTTAAATTTAAAAATTAACATCCGGGAGTAGCTTTCATGCGGTTAACGAGTCTATTTTGCAAAATTACGAAGAGCCTGCCTTTTTAATCTTATTTTTTAAAATCTAAACTAAAACAAGTTTTCTTGGCTTTGCTGACACCTTTTCAGCTATTCCTTCTCTCATTTCTTTTTTTCCAATGCAGTTTTTCTGTGTTCACTCAGTAAGCATAGGCAATTTCTACTTTTAAGTTTTTTTATTTACTTACTTGATGGGGGGGGCAGCTGTCCCCTGGCTATGCCCATGGGTCCAATGCCATCTGCATTTAGATATGCTGGCACCAATCCAGCTGGGTCTCAGCATGTTGTTGCTACCTGCAAGTCTCTGGTTGACCAGGGGAAGGTGGCTCTATGCTAGGACATCTGCTTTGCTTGCAGAAGGTCCCCGTTTCAATTCTCACTAGCATTTCCAGGTAGGGCAGGGAAGGTTTTTGGTCTGAAGTGTTAAGTTGTGGGTGAACATATCAGACGACACAGCGATTCCTCAAACAGCTCTTGTTTATTCAGAGGCCAGAACAGAACTGAACTAAAGGGCTGTCAGCCTGCTTATATAGAGCTCCAGTACGTTACTGTAGCAACTTTCTAAAACTATCCAATCACTGAACGTCACTTTCGATCCTTCATTTGCATAACTATCTACAGTATCCCCCTGCTGGCCCAGGGTGAGAACTTCAGTACATAACATGAAGCCCTGGAGTGCTGCTGCCCATCAGTGTAGCTCAGGGGTAGAGCATCTGCCAGCCTGTGTAAGCAGCACTGAGCTAGGTTGACCAATGCCCTGACTTGGCCTAAGGCAGCGCCTTATGCATTTATTTTGCAGAGAATTCCACTGAGCGATATGTCCCGCAAAGAAATCAACGAGTTGGTGCAGAAGCTGGGCTTCTACCGGAAGGAGAAACCCGACTCGCCTGTCCCCAAAGAGTTCCAGCTTGCTCCTGCCCGGCCGCCCCCTGGTTCAGAAGGCGTCAAGGGAGAGCGTGCAGCAGAGAGCAAAGGGGCTGCGAGTGGAGAACTCTAGATCTGTTGTGCTCTTAAAAACCTCAGGGGTGTCTTGTGTGCGAGTGTGTGCAAGGGTTGACAGCGTGGCTCATGTTTTAATACATCCGCAAGCATAGCTGTACCAGTGGGTGTGCATGGTAGGATATGTTGTTAGTATATGCAGGGTTGTGTGTGCACACCTGCCAGAGGAGAGCCAAGGAATGTGGCCTGGGCTGTAGAATCAATCCTTTTTTAAAAAAGAAAAAAGAAAACACAAGTTTCTAGACCTCATGGTTGGAAAGGTGTACTTGAAAGCGTCTGGGCAGTGCCTGCTGATATCCTGAGAGGCCTGAAGAGGGTTGCACTAAATGACTCTTTAGGTCCCTTTCAAATCTACAATTCTATGAAGATTTGCAGCGGTCTTGAGTGCGGAGGTCTGCTCCTCAACCCCCCAAAATAGCAAGATACGTATATGCAAAAAATGAATGTGCCACATTCGCAGGATATGCAACCAAATGCAACGTCCCCTTGTTGCAGAAATTTGGATTTCATTCTTTAATTTGTTCTAGAGTAAAGGGCACACACTGCCCTGTCTGTGGAACGTGAGTAAAAAGTGGTGTGGAAGAAGCTGTGATCTAGGGTGTGGATTCGGGGGGAAAGTGTGCTCTCCCCACTGCCTGGGGAAACAGAGCCAGACCTCCTGGACCAGATCACCTTGAGTCCCACCTTGGTCTGCGCACCATTTCTGTCTAGATTCATTCGATCATGCATAGCCCAGTTGGAAAGCCTCTTTGTATAGCTCAGCAACCGGGAACCTGTGGCCTTCCAGGTGTTGCTGGATTCCTCTCCCCTCTCCCCCCCAACAAAGTTTTAGTTTTGCTGACTGAGAGGAGCTGGAGACCACCAACATCCCAAGGGGGCCACAGGTTCTTCCCTCCTGCTTTCGGTTCAGACCACACTCCCTAGCTGCTGTTCCTTGCTCCGGGCCATAAGCAAGCCTTCGTGTTTTTCTGCAGCTGTGCCCCGTCTGCATGAGACAGGATGATACCCTCGGCCGAAAGCTCTTGGTGCCCAGGGTGGATAGTCAGTGTCCCATCAGGCTTCGGAGCACAGCGTGCTAAGGAACACGAGCTCAGTCACCCACCCTGCAAACAACAACAACCCTCTTGCAGTTGTGCCTAGAAACAGTAAAGTCTTTTACATCCACTGTGCTCTCTGTGTCTCTGTTGCTGGATAATTAAAAGTCCCAGGCTGAACTGGCCAAGGTGTTCCCCTGGGTCAGGGGTCTGCAACCTTTAAGACAAAAAGAGCCACTTGGACCCGTTTCCGAAGAAAAAAACAACCTGGGAGCCGCAAAACCATTGCGACATTTAAAGCATGCGCGCCACTGCCCTCCGATCTGACAGCGGGTGGGAAGGTGACATCGGGACGGTGCGTGACTAACGCACGCACTGCCCCCATGCGACGTCACAGCCAGTACAGCGCCCGCCACAGTGGGGAGCGTCGGGGCGCACAATGCGCCTCCTCCCCTCACTAGTATCCGCCCCGGAGCCACGGCAAAGGTGTAAAAGAGCCACATGCGGCTCCGGAGCCGCGGGTTGCAGACCCCTGCCCTGGGTCCTCGCCCCATCCCACCTTCAGAAGCTCACTGTGATGAGGTGGCGAGGTGACCTTTTTCTTCCTTGAAGAGCACGGGGAGCTGAAGAAGTTGGAAGTTGCAGCCTTTCTCAACCTGTGGGTCCCCAGATGTTGTTGAACTACAACTCCCATCACCCCTAGCTAGCAAGGCCAGAGCTCAGGGGTGATGGGAGTTGTAGTCCAACATCTGGGGACCCACAGGTTGAGAACCGCTGTCTAGAGACTCTGTCCTGCCTCACCTGAGCAGCATGTTGAGTTGCTGGGAGATATGTCCTTGCATCCCTCAGCCGTGTGGTGTCCCCTGCCAGTGGGGGAGGCAGGTGGAGGGTAAGACTCAAGGTGGTGGCAGCGCCCAGGCTGGGGGCATGCACCCACCCATGCCCAGCTGCTGTCTGCAGTTCTGCGCCGCATGGAGGCACCGGTTAGGAAGCACAGTCCTTGCTTTAGGGGTCACAATGCTTTCCATGCCCCGGGTGTTGGCAACCCATGCTACGCTACTGCTACTAACCCGCCTCACAGGGTTGTTATGAGGATAAAATGGTTCGTGTGAGCTCCTTGGAGGAAAAGGTGGGGTGTAAATGCAAGGACAGGAATACAAACTCCCCTAATCCCTGACCCCTGGGCCAAGGCTGACGGAAGCTGGGAATCCAGCAACATCTCAGTGGCTCAAGAGGTACCCAGATCCTGCTGCACACCAGCCTGCCGCTGGCATTCTCCAACAACTGGAAGGCGCCAAGTTGCGCTAGGTGTATGCTAACCTTAAAAGGACCGAGCCCTGGAGGTTGGAGGACAGTACGAAGCAGAAACGGCCGTCAAAACAGTCTATCCAAACTTTTATTGTCTTGCTGGTGCCTACATAAACATCCTTGTGCTAGTGCAAGAACCGTTACAATCGGGCGCGTGGCTGAGTGCTGAGAGCGGTGTCAGAGGAGCACATCCCGCTGTCCGTCCCTCGCTCCAGGCTCCAGTCGGTCTCAGCTGGCTCATCTGCCCCAACCTTCCCGTATTAATCAGGCCCTCAAAAGGAAAGGAGACTTGTGCAAAGGGCTGAAGGCTGATGCGCTGGGGAATTCCAGGAACAGAGTGGATATTGCTCGATGGTGCGCAGGCAGGAGAACTGTTCCATACAGAGAGGCCACACCAGAGTGAAACCCACATGGTTTCCCCCCCTCTCCTGCCATGTCTAAGCACCCAGAGTTGACCACAATCGCTCCTGGGCTGGCAGAGCCATGGGTGAATATACACATAGGGCACATGGATGGGCAATACTTGATTTCAGCAAACATGGTGGCCAAGAGATGGGAACTGGCATGCCCTGTGCTTGCAAGGGAGCTTCTGAGCTGGTGCAGAGTGTGCCCTTCACCACCACCATTCAGACAGGGAACACAGTTTGTTTCTCTTAAAAAAAAAAAATCTGTCCTCTACCCCAAGCAGCAAAGAACACCCACATCTCTGTCCAGTTACCCCACAACTTCAAAAACTGCACTTTTCTAAACGAGCTGATTTCAGGAGGCGTTTCGGTCAGGATTCAGGGGTGGCCCTGAGGTCTCCTCCTATCCCTCGTCCAGCTTTCACCCTTTCTTGGCCAGGAAAGAAGCTATTTGCCATCTGAAAAAGCCTTGCTTCTCCTACCCACTGGTGCCAGCAGGGTTCAATCCAGAAGAGGCGCAGTCCCAGCCCAGTGGGGCCTGTGCACTACATTTATAATTGGGTTCCTCTTCTGGAAGTGTGGGGAGGGAGGCACGAGGAAAGTGCAAGACCTCTGCCTCGAAGGTGGTGAAGGAAGAGGCCCTCTGCCATAGCTCAGCGGTAGAGAATCTGCTTTGCATGCAGAATGTCCCAGGTTCAACCCCCAGGCAGGGCTGGGGGAGAGCCTCCCTATCAAAAACCCTAGAGAGCCACTGCCAGTCAGTGTAGACAATACTGAGCTAGATGGATCAACAGTCAGAAGCAGTATAGGAAAAGGCTGCATTCAGCTTTATGGCAGGACATCTGCTTGGCATGCAGAAGGTCCCAGGTTCAAGTCCCGGCAGCACCTCCAGCTAGGGCTGGGGGAGTCTCCCTATTAAAAATCCTAGAGAGCCACTGCCAGTCAGTGTAGACAATACTGAGCTAGATGGATCAACAGAAGCAGTATAGGAAAAAGCTGCATTTAGCTTTATGGCAGAACATCTGCTTGGCATGCAGAAGGTCCCAGGTTTAAGTCCCGGCAGCATCTCCAGCTAGGGCTGCAAATGTCTCCTGAAAGCCTAGAAAGCCACTCGCAAGTCATGGTTGCCAATATTAAGATAGAAAGGACCAGCGGTTTGGCTTGACAGAAGGTAGCTATCTACGTTCCTAACACCTGGTGTCGGGGGGGGGCACCTATAACCTGCTGAGCAGGCTCTGCACTTGCAACGATCATTGCAGTTCAAGGATTTGGGGGAGGTGGGAAGCAGGGACGAGTTAAGATCTGCACACACAGACGACAACGCACCCCCCCCCTTTAGCACGCTCCAGCATTTAGCCGTTCAAAGGTACAGACAAGACGCGTGGTCAGTCAATCACACCTGCACAGGTCTCTGCCCGTAATGCTGCTCGGCTGTGCACGATGCAAAAAAGGGAGTTTCGAAAAAGGAGGAAATGGGAATAACTTACAGTAAATAACGACAACGACAACAATAATATAAAAAGCACGTGCGGATGAGAAGGGCAGTCCCGGTTCTCTCCGTAGAGCGGTCTAAGCTCGGCCGGTCCCCTCCAAACCGGCCTGGATTGCCAACTGCCCAGCCTGCTGTAGCGGGAGTGTGTGTGGGGGGGTGTTGGTTCCTCTTGCCTTTTTGCTGCTGCGGGTGGCTCCTGCCCATAGTAAGAGTTCTCTGAAAGCAGGGGGGAGGAGGTGGGGCTGCAGGAACACGGATCGGGACCAGAGGAGCAAGCGAAGACATCCTCCTTTCCCCTGCTGCCGCACCCGGGGGGTGGGTGGGTTGATGGGGGACAGGCTAGGCTGGATGTTTTCGGAGGGAAGGGGGGAGAGGGGGGGCGGGAGAGGAAGGCTAGAAGCGCTGCTGCCTCATCTGGAGCTCGTGGCGCCGCAGGTGGTTGTAGAGGGACTGCACGTAGGTGAAGACGCACTTGGCGTCGGGACGTTTCCCCATGATCATCATGTCTTCCACGTCCACCAAGGGCACGCAGTCCACAAGCACCCTGCAAAAGGGGGGGGGAGAGAAAGGGGGAGAGTAGGTGGTCAAGGTCAAGGTGAAAAGGTCTAGGACTCCTGGACGGTTAAGTCTAGTCAAAGGCGACTATGGGGTTGCGGCGCTCATCTCACTTTCAGGCCGAGGGAGCCGGTGTTTGTCCACAGACAGCTTCCGGATCATGTGGCCAGCATGACCAGGGGCGGAGGAAGAAGAGGAGTTTAGATTTGATATCCCACTTTATCACTACCTGAAGGAGTCTCAAAGCAGCTAACAATCTCCTTTCCCTTCCTCCCCCACAACAAACACTCCGTGAGGTGAGTGGGGCTGAGAGACTTCAGAGAAGTGTGACTGGCCCAAGGTCACCCAGCAGCTGCATGTGGAGGAGCGGGGAAGCAAACCCAGTTCACCAGATTATGAGTCCACCACTCTTAACCACTACACCACACTGGGGGGTGCGGTAGGTGCGGCCTGCTCTGGGTGTCAACACTGAGGGCGGGTGACAAAATGCTGGGCAGCACTCACCTCAGGGCCTGCAGCGCGCCCGAGCCATGTGTCTCTCTTGGGAGAGATGTGGTGGCTTGGGCACCCGCAGGCTCCACACTGCCCAAATGGTCCACCTGCTGCCTCCCCCCACAGCTGTAGGGTGGCTGAGTGGGAGGAGGCAGGCAGACCCTAGAGGCCCTCGCCCTGCCTATCCATGTGCCCTCGCAGCTTCCTCCACCACTGAGCATGACCAAACCACTTCTGGCACAACGGGACACAGTGACGGAAGCCAGAGCACACGGAAACGCCGTTTACCTTCCCGCCGGAGTGGTACCTATTTATCTACTTGCACTTTGACGTGCTTTCGAACTGCTAGGTTGGCAAGAGCTGGGACAGAGCAACGGGAGCTCACCCTGTTGCGGTGATTCGAACCGCCAACCTTCTGTTTGGCGAGCCCAAGAGGCTCAGTGGTTTAGACTGATTCTTCCACCCACCCCCATAAACTAACCCACGTTGTAGTGCAGGTTGGCAACAACAACTACCAGCACTTATCCCCGCCCCTCGGGGCTTGGGTGCAAATCCTAAGAAGTAACTACACAGGTTTTTCCACCGCTATTCATTTCTGCAAGAACAGCCTTTGCACGGGTGGGGAGACTGCAGAGCCCCCACCCTAGAGATAACCTGGGGAGGTCAAAGGAGCCATCGGGTATTGCAAACGGCAAGGAAACCTTTGATCCTGAAAAGAGAAAAGTTGCCCCTTCAGGAGTCTAGCCAGAACAAGACTTGAGAGGGTTGCTAGCGTCTCCTTTTGAAAGTGTGAGCAGCCGCCTGGTGTTTATAACTTTGCAAAACATCTTTTAGTGCAGGGGATCATAAGGCTGCCCCCCCCCTATATTGATGCTCCAAGAACAGTTCGTGGCCAGTGTGAGGACAGGATTCTGGACTAGTTGGGCCCTGGGCCTGATCCGACACGTTTCCACTTACGCTCTTAATGCCCACCTTCAATGTTAAGACCCTGAACCCCTTTCGGCTAGTGGTCTTTACATCAGCTTTGCGCTGGTTTCCCACCCGGCCTCCCCAGTCCTCAGCCTCGGGGTCAAGCATGTGCAGAGGGGGTGGGGGTGCACAGGGAGGTAACCGCGAGGTTTAACGGGCTCCCTCCTCTCAGGCGATGGAAAATCTCCTGAGCGAGCCAGTGTGCCCTTATAAAGCCTTTGTTTAGCCTGTGTGATGGGCTGTTGTACCCAGTGTCCCGGGAGAACGAGGCTCTAGGGAGGCAAAGATATTAACAAGGAGTGCCTGAGTCACTTTTTCCAAGGCTCTCTAGCTCCTCCGAGACATATATGGCCGGGGCAAAATAAATAAAAATAAAAACCCACCCCCCTCCAAAAGAAGGAGGAAATAAGAAGAAACCATCTCCATCACCTGTCCGTCTCTCTTTCTCTGCACCCTGGCCTGCGGAAGCAAGGGATTCTGGGAAAGGCAGGCACTGTCACCACCGTTACCTGGCAGTTGTCAAAAATTAACTGCCCCTCCCGCAAAAGTGAGAGTTTTAAAATTTATTTTTATGATTGGTATTCGATTTCTTCCCCAGCCTTGACCGTGAGCTCCCATTGTGGGCTAAAGCAATCTAAAAACACAACATGGAAGAGCTAGTAACACTGGGAACAAGGAATATCGGGAGCCAGTGTGGTGTAGTGGTTAGAGCATTAGGCTGGAATCCAGGAGACCAAGGTTCAAATCCCCACTCAGCCATGAAGTTCACTGGGTGTGACACTAGGCCAGTCGTTGCCTCTTGGCCTGACCTCCCTCGCAGTGGTGTTGTGGGGGTTAAACAAGGAGGGTGTCTGCCCCCTTGAGCTCCTTGGAGAAAAAGGTGGGATAACGTTGTGGATTCTCCTTCCTTGGAGGTTCTGAAGCGGAGGTCGGGTGAACCTCTGCCATGGATGCTTTAGCTGAGATTCCTGCATTGCAGGGGTTGGACTAGATGGCCCTTGGAGTTCCCTTCCAACGCCACAATTCTATGATTCTATGAGATGCGGAAAGGAAAGATAAACATGGCACCTTCAACTCCTTGCGAGGGGGCAGGAAAGGTAATCCTTAAATGCAACCAGTCCATCAATAATAAACTGTGCCAGGGTGGCGAGATGAAATATATCCAGTTTAGCACCATTGTACAATGGCAGATCCTCTCAGCACCAACCAGCCCACTACGAAGAGCAGGCCTTCGCCAGCAGGTCTCCCAGAATTAAAAACAGGCCCTAGGGTGGGTCTCAAAAACAAGACATCTTAAGGGTAAAGAGCGAAGTCACAGGGAAGGTGCCAGACGCATTGCGGTGGGGAGGGAATTCCACAACTTTGGGGCTACCACAGAGAAGGCCCTCTGCTGGCCTGTCACCACCAACACCGAGGGCTGAGGAACTATCAAGAGGTGCCCTGCCTGCCGATCCCAGCACCCAAGGAGGTAGCCTTTCAGGTATTTGAGGCCTGTGTCATTCAAGGCCTTGAACACGAATGTGAGTGCCTTGAATTGGGCCCAGAAACAAAACAGCCACCAGTGCAATTGTCTTAAAATGGGGTTTTTAATGTGATATCGCAACAGAACCAATCCTCTTCCTCCCCCTTTTACTATTAGCACTCTGCCCATCTAACTGCCCCAGCCACTCTGGGCGGCTTCCGACATATATAAAACACAAAAATACAGTTAAAAACTTCCCTTCAGGGCTGCCTTCAAATGCCCTTTAAAGGTTGCATAGCTGTTTATCTCCTTGACATCTGATGGGAGGGCGTTCCACAGGGCAGGCGTCACTACAGAGAAGGTCCTCTGCCTGGTTCCCTGTAACCTTGCTTCTCACAGGGAGGGAACCGCCAGAAGGCCCTCAGAGCTGGACCTCAGTGTCTCCACTGAACAACGGGGGTGAAGATGCTCCTTCATGTTTACTGGGCCGAGTCCATTTAGGGCTCTAAAGGTCAGCACCAACACTTTGAATTGTGTTCGGAAACATACTGGGAGCCAATGTAGATCCTTTAGGACTGGTGTTATACGGTCTGAGCGGCCACTCCCAATCACCAGTCTCGCTGCCACGTTATGGTTTCCGAGTCACCTTCAAAGGGGCTATTGGGGTTGAGGGGCTATTGGGTTGTTGTTTTGATTTTCATTATGTATACAAGTGGTCGCTCAGGTTGCAAACGTGACCCGTGCGGGATGCACATTCACAACCTGCAACGTTCGCAACCCGCAGCGTCACATCTGCGCACACGCGGGTTGCGATTCTGCGCATGCGCAAAGTGCAATTTAGTGCTTCTGCGCATGCGCGACTGCCAAAACCCAGAAGTAACTCGTTCATGTACTTCCAGGTTTTGGCGGGTGTGTAACCCGAAAAAACGCAAACTGAAGCGGCTGTAACCCGAGGTATGACTGTATTGTGGTTTTGTATCTTCATTTTATTCTGTGAGACTTCCGGGTATAGGGCGGTAAGTAAGTAAGTAAGTAAGTAAGTAAGTAAGTAAGTAAGTAAATAAATGGCCCACGTACTGAAGGTCCCCCAAGCAAGGTAGTTTCTGAAGGAACTACCAAGGAACTACCATCTGCCTCTCCCACCCTCCGAATTTCCCTGCCTCCCAGCGTGGAAACATTTTGCAACCACAATGCACACATGCAGAGACACGTACCTCCCCCCCCCTGCCCCCCCCAATAAAACAAGAAGGAGGAGGAGATTCTCACCATTGCTCCGCGGGTAGGAAGGTTAGGACTTTTTGGTTTTAACCAGCCCCTTCTGAACCAGGCACCGGTAGAACTCCTGGATGTACGTGTAAACGCACTTCCAATCGGGCTCCCTCATCCGGACCATGTCCTCCACATCCAGTAACTGGGGGCACTCCGCGTGCGTCCTGGGTGGTGGGGCAGGGTGGTGGGGTGCCAGGAAAGGGGAGGGAGAAGCCAGTGATCACAGCCCGGACAGATTTGGAAAGGGGGCAGGGAGGGACGGAGAGGAAAAAGAAGAGAGACAGAAGGGAAAAAACAGAAGAAATACATAAATCCATTTCACATTCCTTTGTGTGTGTGCGCGTCAAACTTACATACATGCTTTTGGGGGGTGTCTCTCTGGCGTGCAATACAAACGAGGGTGGAAGGAGGGGGGGTCCATTGCACACGTGCGCCTGGGAGTCATTCCTTATATGGGGGGGGTGGTATAGGAAGGGTAGGGTGAGCGTGGCCAGAAGTGCTGTTGTCGGGGGCAGGTGCCACGAGCAGGTGTGGGGAACTCGAACCCAGATCTCGACAGCAAGGACAGTCCGACAGACGGAAAGGGGTTGGGGGGGGAGAAAAGGAGATGGACCTTTGGGTTGGGGGGAAAGGTGCTGTGCTCTGGTGCCTATTCCAAGGTGGGGCCTTCCTTCTATATGGACGCATATAGAGAGAGCGGATGAGGGGGGCCGGAACGCACCCCGCTGCCTCATCCCATTGTACCCCAGCCTTGCAACAGCGCTGCGGCACAGCCGGGGTGCCTGAAGCTGGTAGAGGGGGGCGGGCACAGGACGACAGCGACACAGGAGGGAGAGCGAAAGCAGCCCAGGAAAGCACCTCTGGTCCAGATCGTGGAAGGAGGGGGTCGGTCGCTCTCGTGGTCCACGGAGAGGAGAGGGGAGCGAGGAAGAGGCAAGTGGGGGTCTCTGGCAGGAGAAACCCTTCGCAGGCAAACACCACTTCCCCTCCTCTTGGACCAGGACACTGCATTAGGCCCACAAGGGGGAGACCTGGCTCAGAGAAGAGGAAACTCATCGTCCCGCCAGCCTGGGACATCAACAGAATGAGCAACTAGGAGTCATTGTGCAGACCACCCGGCTCCTGCAGCAGGGCTTTGGCACTCGTGAAAATGTCCTTTAAAAAGGGATCACCCTCAGGTCCGCTAGTAAAGCAGGCTGCAACGAAGCAATTCAGGAGCGGGGAAAATGGAGACCCTCAGTTTGACCCTCGGAAATCTCTGCAGGCCGCACCCTGAGTGGTTTTTGTCTGGCCGGGGCTTGGCCATGAATGCAGATCATGCCCCTTGCTTTCACACAGGAAGCTAGTGTAGAAACAAGTCTACAGTGGTAACTTGGTTCTCAAACGCCTGGTACTCAAACAACTTGGAACCCAAAGACTGAAAATCTGGAAGTAAGTGTTCCGGTTTACAAACTTTTTTCGAAAGTCGAACGTGCTCTGTTTTGAGTGTTACACTTCCGTTTTGAGTACCACACTTCAGTTTTGAGTGTTACGCTGAGGTCTGTCTGTTTTTGCTATTTATTTTGCATTTTTTGTTTTTGCGGCTCTTTTTGTTTTGTTTTTGTGATTGTGTGGAACCCAGTTAAGCTACTGATTGATTGACTGTGTGACTGCAGTACATATTGGTTCTGCTTTCATTTTATGGATCAATGGTCTCGTTAGATAGTAAAATGCATGTTAAAAATTGCTGTTTTAGGGGTTGTTTTTAAAAGTCTGGAACGGATTAATCTGTTTTGCATTACTTTCTATGGGAAAGCATGCTTTGGTTTTGGAAGGGACTTCCTGAATGGATTAAGTTTGAGAACCAAGGTACCACTGTACTGTAAAAAGCTAAAATTTGCACTGCTTGCTCCGCACACTTTAGACCGGCTTCGCCCACCAGGGACTGCAGCCCTTGGGTGGAAAAAGGTTCTTGGGTTCAAAAACAAAAAGTGCTAAAATGCAGCATCATTTTGTTGTGGTGGTTCCGTATTTTTAGGGCAAGGCATGTTCAAAAACCCTTATCCTGAGACCTGCAAATGTGGGCGAGCAGTCCTGACTTTCCTGGGTGCTGTGGTCTGCAGGATCAGCCCAAATCTCTCCAGAGGGCCAAATCTTGCAAGTGGCCTGGCTCCCTAAATTTGCATGTGGAGAGGCAGGAGAAGCAGTTGCTCAATGCTGCTCTGGAGAGGCCTGCTGTCCACTTCCGGCTGGGAAGGGGACAAGCAGCCCACGGGGGGAGAAATAAGAGACGAGAAAGCGAGACAGAGAGAGAACTCCCTTCCTTGTCTTTCTGCTCAGACCCGTTCCAGGCACAGCACCCAGGGGTGTCCAGGCTCAAAAAGCGGCAGCGGCGTGCCCAGCCAGGCCCCGAGGGCGTCCGCAGCCCCGAAGTCGCTCTCACCACGCAACCCCAAGCTGCAACAGCGCACAACCTTACAAGAAAGACCTTGCAAAGAGGTGCAGGCACTCTCCCACTCCTCCACACCAGCTCACAGTGTCCCACGTGTGCCACCGCCAAATCCCAAATTTTCCAGAGGAACCAGAACGCCTTCTGGTGTGGAAGAGCTCCTGCGCTCTGCGTAAATAGCTGTGCCCCCTTCCCTTCCTACCTTGTGCGCGAGAAAGCAGCACGAATTGAGCCGGAGCTGGAAAAGGTCTGTCTGCAGGTTACGGGGCAAAATCCCAGCACACTTGTGAGGCCCCGCCATGAACGGTTAGCTGGCTTGGGTGGTGCAAGAGCACAGTGAGGTGTAGTGGTTGGAGCAGTCCTCCCAAAATAGGCAGTACTGCCCCCCTGATGGGAGGCAGAAGGATTAACTTGGGGGGGGGGCGGGATAAGAAGCAAAGGGGCAGCAGGGGCACACTGGAGGTGTAAATCAGACTTTGAAAAGTTGGAATCTCTGCTCCAATCCAGTTTTGCTGGATTAATTAAACTAAATAGTTTTAATTGGATTTTGAGTAAGTGTGTGATTAACCGTTACTGTTTCAAAACTCTTATTCTGTTCCTGAGCGGGTCATGCAAGCTGTCGTTCTGAATAATGCTTTTTCTAGGGTAGGGGGCATAGGGGATGAATTTATGGAACCAAGTCTGAAAAAGTTTGGGAACCACTGAGTTAGAGTGTTGGACTACGACCTGGGAGACCAGGGTTCGAATCTCTCCTTGGTCACATGAAGCTCACCGGACGTGACCCTGGCTGCCAGTCACTTCTTTCAGAACTAAGCCTACCTTAAAAGGTTGTTGTGGGGATTAAAAGGAGGAGGGAGGGAAGACCATATGTGCCGCCTCTGAGCTCCTCAGAGGAAGAAAGGGGGGTGACGAATGCAATAAGATAAATGAATATTAAACAAACAGCCACCTGTGCCCTTACACGCCTCAAGAGATGCCTTTTGCCAGAGCTGCGTGTTTGTTGCGATTCTGCAGCTAACCACCAAAGGTACAACTGGGGCTTCAATCTTCCTAAGAACCCCAATCTTGCATTTAAAAAAAAAGCCAAACAAGCATGTTTCTAGACCTCATGGTTGTAAAAGCACTCTTTGATTTTCACAGCGGACAGCGAGACACCCTAGAAGTCAGAGAGGGATGGCTAAGCAGAATTTGTGTCCTCTCCCTTCCCCAGGACTAAATGAAATAAACTGTAAGCATTCCAGAAGCCTGCAAAAAAACAATAATCAGATTTTGCTTTTCCCAAGCCCAGGTCTTTCTTCCTTTTGATGTGGCGAGGCCCTGCTACATGACACCAGCCTTCTCCAACCTGGTGCCCTCCAGATAGTGTTGGACAGACAGCGTGGGCTAATGGTCAGAGGTTTGTGGTCTAGCAACGCCTGGAGGTTGGGAAAGGCTGATGTCTGCATACAGAGAGCGCTGCTTTCTGTCTAGACAACACAGCTTAGGAAGAAGAACAGGGGACAAGAGGCAAGCCTTATTCCCCACCTTGAGGCTTTACTGGGAGGTCTCTCCCACCCCCCAAGTCGTCCGCCCAGTGAGACATTTTCTGGTTGAGAACCTCCTAGCCGGAAGCAGCACAGGTTTGTGCGCAACTGAGCAGGAAACAGCCACAGCCCTGGTTAACTCATTGCCACAGGAGAGTTAAGCCAGCCTTCCTCACTATGGTGCCCTGCTTTAGATGCTACAACTCCCATCATCCCCTGCCAGTACAGCCATTTTGGACTACAACTCCCATCGGCCTCAGCCAGCACAGACGGTTTGGACTACAACTCCCATCATCCCCTGCTATAATGGCCCTTTTGGACTTCTAGCTCCCCTCACAGCTGTAGCACAAAGCCCATAGAGAGCACCAGATTGGCCAAGGCTGCGTTAGGCAGAGAAAGAGAGAGAGAGAGAGAGCACAGGTATGCCAATAACCCGGAAAAGGCGCTAGACCTCTTGAAGGAAAAACAGGCCCTGCACCCGCGCTTCTCTCCCACGCCCGGTGGGGGGCAGGAGCAGCTAAGGGGTACATACTCAGCTGCCGAGAACGCCATCTCGAAGTTGCGCCGCCGGTCCTGCGGTGAAAGCTGGGCATAATCAAAGGCCTCTGGGAAGAAGTTGTGGACGAGGGCGCAGAAGGCCATGCCGTCGCTCCAGCTGGAGGAAAAGTTCTGGATGTCGACGTGCTGCCGAGTAAAATAAAACCAAATTTTGAAAATTTTGTTTTATTTTTTTAAAAATTTGATTTGAAAACAAAAAACCTCAAAGCGGGGGTTTGCCAAAAAAAAGAGAGAAAGAATGTTAGCAGTAAGAAGAACGAGCCACACTAACTTAAAAATTTCAAAAAGAGAAGAATAGACGTTTAAAGAAGACTGGGAAATGTTTACTGAATATATGGGTGAAAATTGTGTTCATTTAAAAATGCTGTCATTTAAAAATGCTGGTAGCATTAAGTTAAATTCAACAGTGTAAATCAGTTTTGATGGATGTAAGAATGGATTACTGAATGGTTTAGTTCATGTAAAAGATGCAGGAATGTATGGTATGTAAAACGGACCATGGAAATAGAAGAAGGGAAGTAATTAAGGTTATTTAAATGAATATTTTGAAATGTAATTGAGAAAATTTAATAAAAATTTGTGTGTGTGTGTGTGTGTTTTTTTTTTAAAGACAACTATAGACTAAAAAAGAGATCAACACTCACATAAACTGCTTTAGGCTTGTCTAACAGAATATTTTTAGCAGGCTCTGAAAAAAGTACAGTGAAGGCATCTGCCTGATATCAATCAGCAGGGAGTTCCAAAGTGTAGGCAATACAACACAAAGATCCAAGTTCTTACAACTGCAGAGCAGGTATTATGTGGCCTCTGAAAGAGGGCCAGTTCCGCTGATTGAAGCTGTTGAATGGGGTATGTGGGGTAAGGCGATCTCTCAATCTGGGGAAGCCCGGGCAGAAAGGGGCAGGGAAGTGGGCACAGGCGAATGGCAAACTAAGTTGTCGGACTGTGCCGAAATGGCAAAACTGACTGGAAAGCTCAGAAACCAGGGAGACCAAAACTTTAATAAGGAATGGGGGGAAATTATAATTTACCTAGAAGACCACTGTTAGCAGTTGAAAACACTAGCGGGATTGCAATAACACTCGTAACGTAACGAGAACTATGGACATAATGGGGTTATATAAAAAAATGGACTATTGAATAAACATGCAGATTCGGAGGAATCTTTAAAGTGGATCTGTCATGGTATGATTATAACTTTAAATTTGTAAAGCCAAGTAAAAATTATTACAGTGGTACCTCGGGTTAAGTACTTAATTTATTCTGGAGCTCCGTTTTTAACCTGAAACTGTTCTTAACCTGAAGCACCACTTTAGCTAATGTGGTCTCCTGCTGCCGCCGTGCCGCCGGAGCACGATTTCTGTTCTCATCCTGAAGCAAAGTTCTTAACCTGAAGCACCACTTTAGCTAATGGGGCCTCCTGCTGCTGCCGCGCCGCCGGAGCAAGATTTCTGTTCTCATCCTGAAGCAAAGTTCTTAACCTGAAGCACTATTTCTGGGTTAGCGGAGTCTGTAACCTGAAGCGTATGTAACCTGAAGCGTATGTAACCCGAGGTACCACTGTATTTTTTAAGAAGGAAAGTGGGCAGAGGCCCGCCGGGGGCACACTCACCTCGTAGCCCCGTGTCTTAGCACGGCACCAATCCAACAGCATTTGCTTGATGCTGCTGGCGTTGGGGACCCCAAAGCTGCCCGAGCGCTGGACCGCCACCCGGGACACGGCTGGGTTGGCTGGGCTACGGAGAGAAGAGTGTAAGAAGTTGCTGTATCCCAAACCAAAGCGTTGCTCCCATTGGAAGAAGGAAATGGCCTCCGATTGTGGGGGGCTTCTTTGGAATACATCCGCGAAGGAACACAGGCGACTCCCTGCCGCCTTCCCTAAAGCCGAGCACCGCCACCCACTCCAGGACTCCTGCGCCAGCCACCCGCACCTCATCCGAACACAGCGGGGCTCCTTACCTGCCGCTCTCCTTCTCCAGCTTTTCAATCATGGCCTTCCGGGCTTGTGAAGCCGACGTCTTGGGCAGGCTCTGAGCCTTCATGAGCTCCTTCTTCTTCTCAGCCTGGCGACGTTCCAGGGCGGCCAGGCTGCCAGCACGCCCAGAGGTCTCGTCCTCTCGCTCGAAGATGCTGCCAGAAAGGGACAAAGGTGAGAAAGGGCAGTGTTGGTGCTGACCTGTAAAGCCCTAGATGGCCTCGGCCCAGTATACCTGAAGGAGTGTCTCCACCCCCATCATTCAGCCTGGACACTGAGGTCCAGCTCTGGCGGTTCCCTCGCTGCGAGAAGTGAGGTTGCAGGGAACCAGGCAGAGGGCCTTCTCAGTAGTGGCACCCGCCCTGTGGAACGCCCTCCCATCAGATGTCAAGGAAATAAACAACTACAGTGGTACCTCGGGTTAAGTACTTAATTTGTTCCGGAGGTCCGTTCTTAACCTGAAGCACCACTTTAGTTAATGGGGCCTCCTGCTGCTGGTGCGCCGCCGGAGCACGATTTCTGACCCGAGGTACTATTTCTGGGTTAGCGGAGTCTGTAACCTGAAGCGTATGTAACCCGAGGTACCAGTGTATCTGACTTTTAGAAGACACCTGAAGCCAGCCCTGTATAGGTATGCTTTTAATTTCTGACGTCTTTTCGCTTTTAAAAATTATTATTAATATTCTGTTGGGAGCCGCCCAGAGTGGCTGGGGAAACCCAACCAGTTGGGCGAGGTATAAATAATTTGTTGTTGTTGTTATAGCAGAGTCAGGGGGCTTTCATCAGTGGGTCTTTTGCTAGGGTGACCCCCACCAGCGGATGCCCAACACAGGGTGTTGAAGAACACCCTGTCCCCATTTTGGATGTGAACTCCCATCAGGGCTGTTTTGAACAACAATTCCCATCAGCCCTCAGCCAGCATGGCCATATTGGACTACTATTCCCACCAGCCCCCAGCCAGCATGGCCATATTAGACTACAACTCCCATCAGTCTCAGCCAGTGGGGCTGTTTTGGACTAGAACTCCCAGGAACGCCTTTTGGTTGCCTGGATGAAGACAGCAAGGGACGCACAAGCACATGTAGAACCTAACAAACCGCAGAAAAGGTAGCATCTAAAAATCCATTGCTCCTCCCACTTTCGCCGCTTTGCCCTGCCAGGCGCTGGCCTGTGGGCCCCAGAAGCACATCCAGCCCTCTGCCTGAAAAAGGTTCTCTGCCCCTGGGCTTAGCAGCTAAACCTCAGCTGCGGAAAGAAAACATGGGAGATGGCTGCCACAGAGCAAGCAAGAGGCAAGAGTCGTGGCCGTCCTCCCACACATGCCTTGCATCCCACGATCCCTGCGTGGCAGGGGGTTGGATTAGATGACCCTGTGTAGGGGTGCAAATATCCAGAGTGTGGGGGTCAGGTGGGATTGCTATGAGGAATTATGAAAAATGAAGCAAGCCATTTGTGTCCATGATGAACGCATTGCGTTGACTGGGTTTGATCCATTGACAATAGTTTCTGATCGAATCCCACAAGCCTCTCCATCTCTACCATTTGCTTTCTCTACACCTGACAGGCATGTATAAGCATTCTGAAACACAGACCAGTCGCTTCATTGGGCATCCTCAGTACATAAAGATAATAGGTTATTTTGATGTAGTTTGTTAATCTTTAGATAGATCTTAAGAGCAGGGAAGAGAGTTCACAAGGAGATGGTAAATCCTGCCTCTCCTGTTTATGACCTCCGGGGTTTCCTAAAAGCATTCCTCCTTGCTTCCTCTTTTATTTACTCTGGACTACTATGCATGCTCAAATTAGCTCTTTGTAGTTTTAACTTTGTCCCACGTGGGGTTTTTGAAATGCTCAGGGGAAATCTGATTGGTTCTTACGAACACTGTGTAAAAAGTTCTTTTGTGAATAAAACGACCTGGGCCAAGGGGTGGACAGGAATTATTATTGGCACCTCCTCCCAGAGTCTTGCTGGTCAAGCCTCATGTGTATTCTATTAATCAGAGTCCAATCCTTCCCTGTTTGGGGAACGCTACAACCCTGTTGTCCCCCTGCCCACTCCGCAATTCTGTCGTTCTGTGAATGCGGCAGGAGCTGTGCAACTGGGAGAGGAGCTCCAGGAAGGACTCACCTGCCGACTTTCTTGGAAGACGATGTGCTGTAGGACGATTTGGTCTGGACAAAGGTGTTGCCGTCTGCTGAAAGGTTGAAGAGGAGTGGGAGACAAACATAAGGACCTCAGGTACCACGGAGGCAACAGGGCGACATGCCACGGACTGCGCCAAAGCATCACCCTTTCACTGGTTTAGAATTTTATCGTGTTTTTAGCTTCCTTAACGGGCCGTGCAAACCACTCTTCCGGAGAATGCTTTTTATAGCGTAGGAGGCACCGGGGATGAGTTCATGGAACCAAAGGGACAGTGTCCGAAAAAGGTTTGAAAACCACTGAGTGGGTGTGTTGGACCTGGACCTATGAGACTCGGGTTCGAATCCCCACTCAGCAATCTAAAGCTCGCTGGGTCAAGTGGCTGCCTCTCAGCTTAAACCTACTTCACAGGGTTGTTGTGGGGATTAAATAAGATGGGGGAACCATGTGAGAAGGGGGCAGTGGTCCCAAAAAGTGTGGGAACCGCTTCTCTAACCACTATGCAACACTGCAGTAACTTATTATGCTTTGCGCTTCCAATGTATTGGTGCTGGCCTTTAAAACCCTAAACGGACTCGGTCCAGTATACCTGAAGGAGCATCTCCACCCCCATCATTCTGCCCGGACACTGAGGTCCAGTGCCAAGGGCCTCCTGGCGGTTCCCTCGCTGCGAGAAGCCAAGTTACAGGAAACCAGGCAGAGGGCCTTCTTGGTAGTGGCACCCGCCCTGTGGAACACCCTCCCATCAGATGTCAAAGAGAAAAACAACTACCAGACTTTTAGAAGACATCTGAAGGCAGCCCTGTTTAGGGAAGCTTTTAATGTTTAATAGGTTATTGTATTTTAGTGTTCTGTTGGAAGCCGCCCAGAGTGGCTGGGGAAACCCAGCCAGATTGGGGGGAGTATAAATAATAAATTATTATTTTTATTATAATGTACCCTTCAAGCCCAGACATCTCAGGAAACAGAGAAACACTCAACACCACAATAAATCTGCTCTCAGTCCATTTAGCTTGGCAAGAAAGAATAGCCCTCCCTCTTCCTGGGAGCCCCTCACCACAAGGAAAGAAAACAAGGTGCAAGAAGAGCCTTACTTTCCGATCTCTTCACGTAGCTGGACTCCATCATCATCGTGCGGGAAGTCTTGCTGCCATCATCTGGGAGGGGAAAAGCATAAGAGTGCTTATGGATCAGGCCAGAGGCCTACCTTGTCTGGCGCCCTGTTCCCCACAGTGGGAAGCCCACAAGCGAGACTTGAAAGCTTTAGGCTTCTCTCCCTTTGTTATTCTGCCTCTGATCCTGGTGACCATCAGGATCAGCCTCACAGAATCAGAGTTGGAAGGTGTACTAAAGGCTAATGGATGATCTAGGCGAGATTCCTGCACCGCAAGGGGGTTGGACTAGATGACCCTCGGGGTCCCTTCCAACTCTACAATTCTGGGATCTAGTCTGACCTCTCCTGCCCAATGCAGGAAATCCAGTGGCAGCAGATGGTATTCTGCCTCAAGTCCTCCAGCAAGAAAGAGCTCTCCAAACTTCTACCAAACAAAAACATCTTGGAGGTCCGGGCCACAGGGAGGTTAGGCTGGCCTCAACCAGAGCCAGGGCTTTTTCGGCTGTGGCCCTAATCTGGTGGAACGCTCTGTCACAAGAGACTAGGGCCCTGCGGGACTTGACCTCTTTCTGCAGGGCTTGCAAGACAGAGCTGTTCCACCAGGCCTTTGGCCAAGGCACAGCCTGACCCCCTCCTTTGGTAATCCTCGTAGAACTCTAGCCCAATGGTTGCCATTAATTTGATTCTGAATTGATTTTAGAATGTATGTTAATTAATTGACTGTGATTTTATTTAAATTATGCTATTTTTACTGTTGTTAGCCGCTCTGAGCCCAGCTTTGGCTGGGGAGGGCGGGATATAAATTAATTATTATTATTATTATTATTATTATTATTATTATTATTATTATTATTATTACCAAGCAGCTATTAGGGTCAAGAAGGAACATTTCCCTAAAATATTCTCCCCAAATCTACCCTCCTATAACTCCATCCCCAGATAGACCCAATCTTGTTCTCAGGGGAAACAGAAAAGAAGACTTAGCCCCCTTCTGCCTGATGACAGCCCTTCAGATATTACACTCCTCCTCTGTCTGCTTTTCTCCCAGGTAAAAATAAACAAGTTTCCTTATTTTATTTACACCTGACCATCTTGTCTTCCTCTGGACCTGCTCCAATCCAACTAAATCCTTCTTAAACCACAGCACCCAGAACTGGACACCGGACTCCAAGCAGAGAAAAAAGCAAAAACATTATTTCTCATGACTTGGAAACTCTGGTGCGAGCGACACCATCTAAAATTGCATTAGCCCTTTTCGCAGCCACATCACAGGGCTGGCTTGTTACCAGTAGCCGTTATACTAGCCTTGTTCTCCACACATTTGTCTAATCCCCTTTAGCGCCCTCCCAAGTTGGGAGCTGTCATTATTTGCAAATTCCAGAGTCCAGCTAGCTGCTGCATGAAGAATCCTTTCTTTTTGCCTGTCCTGAATCTTCCAACATTCAGATTCATTGGATGACGCAGAGCTCCAGTATTTGGCAAAATGCATCTCCCTATCTTTTTTCAGGGACACGGTTGGCGCTGTGGGTTAAACCACAGAGCCTAGGACTTGCCGATCAGAAGGTCGGCGGTTTGAATCCCCGCGCAGGGGTGAGCTCCTGTTGCTTGATCCCTGCTCCTGCCAACCTAGCAGTTCAAAAGCACGTCAAAGTGCAAGTAGATAAATAGGTACCGCTCTGGCGGGAAGGTAAACAGCGTTTCCGTGCGCTGCTCTGGTTTGCCAGAAGCAGCTTAGTCATGCTGGCCACATGACCCGGAAGCTGTATGCTGGCTCCCCCGGCCTATAGAGCGAGATGAGCGCGCATCCCCAGAGTTGGTCACGACTAGACCTAACGGCCAGGGGTCCCTTTACCTTTTACCTATCTTTACCGGGTAGAATTTTATACCCCTTTATCATGTTCCCTCATGCTCACCGTTTTCCCTAAACTAAAAAGAACCAAGCATTGCAAAAATATTTTCCTTGTAAGGAAGTTGCCCCAAACCTCTTAAACCAGGCTTCCTCAACCTCAGCTCTCCAGATGTTTTGAGACTACAATTCCCAGCATCCCTGACCACTGGTCCTGCTAGCTAGGGATCATGGGAGTTGTAGGTCAAAAAAACATCTGGAGGACCAAGGAAGCCTGTCTTAAACATTGAGCTTGTGCTTTTCCAAACCTCTAAGAGCTCCTACAATATCCTTTCTGAGGAGAGGCTGTGATGGGTCAAGTGGAAGCCCTTAGCTTTGAAGCCAAGAAGCTGCCTTAAAACAGGCCATCCAGGGACATGGAAACTGCCTGATACAAAAAAAAGCACTGTGTCCATCTAGCTCAGTACTGTCTACACTGACCGGCAGCAGCTCTCTGGAGATTCAAATAAGGGACACTGACAGGAATTGAACCTGGGACCTTCTGCACCAAAAGCAGATGCTTTACCACTGAGCTACAGCTCTTCCCTTACGCTGCCTGGCAATTGGTCCTCCTAGCTTAGTACTGTCCACACTGACTGGCAGCAGTTCTGCAGGATTTCAGACAGGTGTACTTGGAGATGCTTTTGGGGACTGATCCCGGGACCTTTTGCGCTCAAAGGAGATGCTCTGATGGCCCTTCCTCACGCGTCCATCCCTCTATCCATCCCAGTGCTGCCTACTCTGACTTGCAGCCACAGCTCTCCAGGGTGCCAGCCAAAGAGAGGCCTTTCTGAGTCTTGCTGAGCCCCTTTTGACTGGAGATGCCTTGGATTCAAGGGTGCAAAAGGTACTTCAGCCCATCGTTCTCCCTACAACGGAGGAAGTCCCGGGAAGTGGATGGCATGAGTCACGGCCGAGCGAGGAGCGCTTACGTCCCAAAAGAAAAGACTAACTCAGATGCTCTAAAGCATGGCCAAAGGACAGAGGACAGAGAGAGAGAGAGAGAGACGAGCCATTCCAAACTTCAGTTGCCAGGATGAGGCTGCGGAGACGGCCGGAGAAGGCACCAACCATCCTGGTGCAAAAAGAGAAGAAAAACTGCCAGCGGTGACCCCGATGCAAAGAGGAGAAATTAGGACAGTTTCCAGAGAGAAGAGAAGAGGGGGTCTCTCCACGGGGAGATCAAGGACCCCAAAGAGGCCTGAGTTGACGTCTGGGATGCGTGACGGCGTCTCCCCCCCGGAAGCCATGCGCTCGGAAGGAAAGGCGGAGCGTCCCCAAACCCCCAGCTGCTCCTTACTGGACTGGACAAGGCGCTGGGTCTTGGTGACGGTGCTGATGGCTGAGCCATCGGCGGACATGGCGCTCTGCCGGGCCGTGGTCTCTGTGGTGTGGGTGGCCCCTCTCGATTTGGCTTCCTGGATCCGCAAGCTGCGCTCCTTTTCTCGTTGCTCTGCAAAACGCCACGTCCCAGAGGGGTCAGGAACGGCGGCAAGAATGGCGGGAGGAGGGCAAGGCTACAGGAGCCATGGGGGGCCTTGTTGTGCCTTTTTAACAAACCAATCTTTTAGCGCTGGAACTCCCTGCCTATTGACAACCAGGCAGGCCCCTTCCTTGCACAACGCCGGCCGAAGACATTTTGTTTAGGGCAAAGCTTATCCAGACACATAGGAAACTGGTCAGTGTTTTGTGTTGTTTTCAATTCACCGTTCCTTTTCATTGCCCTGAAGATGTCTTACAACTGTTGCTTTCGACAGCTTTTACTGATACAGCCATACTATGGAAGTCAAAAGGAATCCATTCCGGAAGTCCGTTCGACTTCCAAAACGTTTGGAAACCAAAGCGCGGCTTCTGATTGGCCGCAGGATGGTAATGGTAAAACTAAGTGTAATTTAAAAAATGATTTAAAATTATGATATATGTAAATTGCTAAAGATGAGGTAAAATGGAAATCAGATGGGGGGACTTGGGGAAGCTCACTTAACAATGTTTAGAAAAAATAAGGATAAGTCAAGAATTTGTTTGTTTTTCTGATTGTGTTGTTTATTAGTGTTATAAAATCAATAAAAAAATGGGGGGGGCTACCTGCAGCCAATCAGAAGCCATGGAAACCCTGTCAGACGTTTGGCTTCCAAAGGAATGTTAAAAAACTGGAACACTCACTTCTGGTCTTTTCTATCTTCCAGGAGCCAGAACATTCGACTCCCAAGGCGTTCTGGAGCCAAGGTGCGACTGTAGTTTCATAGTTCTATACTTTTTGGAAACCGCTTTAAGGATTTTGTTTTATGAGAACAAAGCAGTACATAAACCTTAGGGAATAAAATATACTGTGGCCGGGAACCCTTTCTTTATTTCACGGATTTGTTAAATTTCAAATTTCACCCTTCCTCCAAGGAGCTCAAGTGTAACAGCTGTGAGTCTCCTAAAACACCACTGGTTTGATCCTCACAGCAGCCCTTGGGCTATGTGAGTTAGGTCAAGGGACAAGAACTGGCTCAAGGTCACCCAGTGAGGAGGGGGTGGTTTCTTCAGTCAACTGCAGATACATACAGATTGCTGCATATCATAGGAACACAGGAAGCCACCTTACTCAGTGTCTATCCAGCTCAATATTTTCCACACTGACTGGCAGCAGCTCTCCAGGCTGTGGCACCGGCATGGCCATAAAATGGACAATGCAGCCATGCTGGCTGGGGGCTGACAGGACTCGTAATCCAGTTGTAGTCCAAAAGGCAGCAGGTTGGCGAATACTTGTGTGAATCCGGTGGCTTTTGCACAGCAACTCTTGGTTCCCACTTGCCTCCCACTCCTCTATAGCTTAAGTCTTCTCATTTGAGGACTAGATTTCTTGAAGTGTGCAATTATAAAGCTCCCCACCCCCCAAAAAAATCCCCAGGCAGGTACCTCGTTTCCGCTGGCGCAATTCCCGCATGGCGGCCCGTATCAGCCGCCGCTCCTCAAAGTCTGTGGTCTGATCCAGCTGCAGGGAGAGGGAAAGAGGGGTTATTACTACCACTACTACTTCTCTCTCTCTCTCTCTCTCTCTCTCTCACACACACACACACACACACAGCTTTTCTCCCTTCATTTAAAAAGAAGAAGAAGAGGAGTTTGAATTTGATATCCTGCTTTATCACTACCCAAAGGGGTCTCAAAGCGGCTAACATTCTCCTTTCCCTTTCCTCCCCCACAACAAACACTCTGTGAGGTGAGTGGGGCTGAGAGACTTCAGAGAAGTGTGACTGGCCCAAGGTCACCCAGCAGCTGCATGTGGAGGAGCGGGGAAGCGAACCCGGTTCACCAGACTTACGCGTCCACCGCTCTTAACCACAACACCACACTGGCATGAAAACTGCTCCCAACAAGGAAAAGCCGCTCAGGGAAATTAATTCACACAGATGTAATCCTGCAAGCATGCAAGCGAAGGACATTCAAGTTTAATTTTATTTTTAAAAACCTGGAGAAATGCTGCCAGTCAGTGCTGACAATAAGAAGTTAGATTCTAGATCCTTGGTTTTATTATTTATGTTGAGAAGGACCAGGGCTACCAGTATAAGGCAGCTTCCAAATTTGATCATCCCTTTATTTTGGAACCACAAGGACTAGGAACTTATCTTATTTTGAAGTAAAGCCCTTGGCTCAGTGGTAAAACATCAGTTTTGCATTATGTTTCCATGATCATTCTGGCTGCACCTGTCATGGGCCAGGAATCGGCTTCACCTGCTGAGCAGGTCCGTTCTTAACCTGAAACTGTTCTTAACCTGAGACACCACTTTAGCTAATGGGGTCTCCCACTGCTGCCGCACCGCCAGAGCACGATTTCTGTTCTCAACCTGAAGCAAAGTTCTTAACCTGAGGTACTATTTCTGGGTTAGTGGAATCTGCAACCTAAAGAGTATGTAACCTGAAGCGTATGTAACCTGAGGTACCACTGTATATAAATGCAATAGACATAAATAATGTCGGTTCTCATCAGCCACAGCCAGCGTGACCAATGATTAATCTCCCCTAGTGCGTTGATATAGTCCTCCTGTCACTTTCATTAAACACCTTTCGGCGCTAGGCAAAAACGTTCCTCTTTAATCAGGCCTTTGTCCGATTAACATTCTTATGTCCTTTAAAATGCGTTGGGGTGGTGCTGGTTACGGGTTTTGTTCTTGTTTTTATTCTGCTTTTATTTTGTATTTGCAGAAGAGGGCAACCAAGATGATCAAGCGTCTCGTCTTATGAGGAGTGTTTGAAGGAGCTGGATATGTTTAGCCTGGAAAAGAGGAGGTTGAGAGGAGATACGATAGCTGTCTTAAGAGCCGTCACGTGGGAGAATGGAGCAAGCTTGCTTTCTCCTGCTCCGGAGGGTAGCACTCAAAACCAATGGCTTCAAGTTACAAGAAAGGGGATTCCAACTGACTTTCTGACATTCAGAGCTGTTCAACAGGGGGAGCGGTCTCCCTCAGGAAGGTTGTGGATTCTCCTTCCTTGGAGGCTTTTAAGCAAAGGTTAGGTGGCCATTTGTCATGGATGCTTTAGCTGAGGTTCCCGCACTGCAGGGGACTGGACTAGACGACCCTTGAGGGTCCCTTCCAACTTTGATTTTCTGCCACCCTGAAATCTTCAAATGAAGGGTGGTATACAAAATTTAATAAACACCCTTTCGGAGGCTCCCTAGCGAGCAAAATGACACCGGCTTGTGGCAGGAGGCGACCCACCCCAGATCCAAACCCTCTCCGAAACATTTATTATTCTTATTACATATTGAATTTATTTTATACATTTTAATTAATTTTTTAACATATCATTTCCAACAATAATTTAACATATATTCTTATCTTATAGAGTCATACCTTGGTTCCAGTTACAGATAGGTAGCCGTGTTGGTCTGCCATAGTCAAAACAAAAAAAATTCCTTCCAGTAGCACCTTAAAGACCAACTAAGTTAGTTGGTCAATCTCCCAGGACATTCTATACAAGATCTCAAAGTAGCTGTTTTACTACAAAGGAATTTCAGAAATAAACTGGAAAGAGAACCTGCTGAATTGCAACTCATTACCAAACTTAAAACCATGGAGAGACCTGGCCTGAACAAAGACATTGGATTCTTATCTCATTATACATAACAAAGCCATTTTTCACCTTCTCACCCCTTGCTTTTTCCTATAAGACCTATTGCAGTCGTTAAGAGTCGTCAACAGGCTCATCACAACTATCTGCCAATCACCCATTCCCACCACCCTTCTGAGTAATACCCCTCCCCACCTTCTCACTATATAGAAGGACCTGGCAACTTCTGTTTCAGTGTATCTGAAGAAGTGTGCATGCACACGAAAGCTCATACCAAGAACTAACTTAGTTGGTCTTTAAGGTGCTACTGGAAGGAATTTTTTTTGTTTAGTCATACCTTGGGTTAAAGTCGCTTCAGGTTGAGCATTTTCAGGTTACGCTCCGTGGCGACCCAGAAGTAACGGAACGCGTTACTTCTGGGTTTCACCGCTCACGCATGCGCAGACGCTCAAAATGACGGCATGCACATGCGCGGAAGCGGCAAATCGCGACCCGCAGGTGTGGGTTGCGTTCTGCTCAGGATGCGAACGGGGCTCCAGAACGGATCCTGTTCGCATCCACAGGTACCGCTGTACAATATTTTAGACTTCCGTCAACTACCTCTGAAGATTTTCCATTCTTTATCACTTTATCTGCATTTCTTAATTTCTCTATTGCTTTTAACTGTCCTTAACTAATAATTTTCTTCATAGTCTTCCTTGCAATATTTCGCATAGTCCTCCTTACAAAACTTCTTGCAGTCCTACTAGCGTAATCTGTTTATTATAACTGCTTTTCAAATAGTTCAAATATTTACTCCAGTCCTCTAAGAATCTCTGGTCCCGCAGGTTTCAAATCCTTCCTGTCATTTTGTCTAATCCTGCATAGTCCATTAATTTCATTTGCCACTCTTCTTTCGTCGGTAATTCTTCTTGTTTCCATTTTTGTGCCAATAATTATTGAATTTATTCATATATTACCCAGAGGTCTCAGGGTGGTTCACAGAACAAAAATATTTGCTCCAGACACATAGACAAACATGCACACACCCTTAAAGGGAAAGGGACCTCTGACCATTAGGTCCAGTCGCAAACAACTCTGGGGTTGCAGCGCTCATCTCGCTTTACAGGCCAAGGGAGCCAGCATTTGTCCACTTCCACAGACAGTTTCTCCAAGCCATGTGGCCAGCATGACTAAGCCGCTTCTGGTGAAACCAGAGCAGCACACAGAAACGGCGTTTACCTTCCTGCCAGAGTGGTACCTATTTATCTACTTGCACTACATGCTTTCAAAGTGCTAGGTTGGCAGGAGCAGGGACCGAGCAATGGGAGCTCACCCCGTTGTGGGGATTCGAACCGCTGACCTTCTGGTCGGCAAGCCCAAGCAGCGCAGTGGTTTAAGCCACAGCGCCACACACCCTTACCCGACCCCAGATATGTGAAATATATCATCACTGAAGCAGTCAATTACAACATTTCCTGTTACCCAGAGTGGACACACAGGGGAATGATGCTCCAGACAGGGAAAACTTCCTGTCATACAAGTTCTGGAGTATCCTTCCCCTGTCTGTGACCAGGTAGATGGGCATGATCCTGGCAGACCCTAAAAAGGGGCTAGTCACACAGCCATCTCCCTCTTTTACTCTTTTGCCTTTTTTTGCTCTCTGCTGGCTCTTAGCCAGCAGCGCAAGGCTCATCCTTAGAGGATGGAAGCCACAAGGTAGAAAGTTCGAGGCCTAGCTCAGACTTCTTTTCTCTACAAATGTAACTGTAACCACAAGATAAAGCCTGCCTCCAGAATATTACAGTGGTACCTTGGGTTACATACGCTTCAGGTTACAGACTCCGCAAACCCAGAAATAGTACCTCGGGTTAAGAACTTTGCTTCAGGATGAGAACAGAAATCGTGCTCTGGCGGCAGTGGCAGCGGCAGCAGGAGGCCCCATTAGCTAAAGTGGTGCTTCAGGTTAAAAACAGTTTCAGGTTAAGAACGGACCTCCGGAACGAATTAAGTACTTAACCCGAGGTACCACTGTGCTGTGGACTGAATGTTAAGTAAACTTTACTCTTACTTCCAATCAAGACTGTTGCATTATTTTAAGAGGGAAATAAAAGGCAAAACTTGCCAGGAACAAGCCAGACTGGACTGCCCAACTTAAAAGATTCTAACGAATCCATCAACTTGCTTCCAGCAATCTGCAAAGGAATATGCTCTGCTGCTTGCTCACTAGCGTCAGTGAGGAGGGGTAATATTTAATCAATATATCCTCTTCTACTTTCCTCAACATTCCCACAAGATACCCAACTCAGAGAATCAGCTATGACTGTTACCACCCCGGTGTGTGCCACAGAGTCCCAAATTCATGCCGCTGTCGCCAACACGTACCATCTTATCCAACACATGCTCTTCCTCAATTTTGCTCAGCTCTTCGGCACTCAGACGGCTTCGCTGGTGCAGCTCCTGGGCCTGTGGCTTCTCTTTCTCGGTGCCGTTTGACAATGCCGAGTCGGCTGCCTCGCGGTGCACCGGCACCTCGGCTTCCATCTGAAGCAAAAAAAGAAGATGACACCAATGTAGGTCAAGAGCAACTTGGAAGATCATACATGGGATCTTCCACACTGATTATTTTTTCTTTTCTTTTTTAATCATTCCATTTATAGTCTTGCCTTCTTCCCTCCAAGGAGTTCAAGGTGGTTTAGTTAGTTTCTCCCCCAATCCCATATTTTCCCATGCAATTTTTTAAAAATTTTTTTTAAAATTGTAAGAAAAAGAAAAGTTTGCAGAAGGAAAATAAGTGAGGAGAGAGAATGCCAGAAGTAAAGTAGCGTCAGTGCAAACACAGAACACAAATGAAGCCGAAATTTAGCCGTACCTTGGAAGTCGAACGGAATCCGTTCCAGAAGTCCGTTCAACTTCCAAAACGTTAGGAAACCAAAGCGCGGCTTCCGATTGGCCGCAGGAAGCTCCTGCGGCCAATCGGAAGCCGTGGAAGTCATGCTGGACGTTCGGGTTCCAAAGAACGCTCGCATACCGGAACACTCACTTCCGGGAGCCATAACGTTTGGCTTGCAAGGCGTTCTGGATCCAAGGTATTGCTGTGGTTTAACAAATACTTCTACATACTTGGAAAAGGAAATGCCGCGGTCATTACCAGTATCGTTGAACGAATAGCGGGTCAAACAAAAGAGTTAATCTTAAATGCCTTACTTTCTTATCATGTGTACACCACAATGAGATATAGTAAGAATAAAGTATCATAAAATAAAAAACCATGGGTGTGTTGTAGCTTACTGATTGTATTTTTATGGGACTCCATTCTCCCCCCCCCCATTTTATCCTCACAACAGCCCTGCAAGGTGGGCCAGGGGATGAGTGAGTGACTGGCCTAAGGACACCTAGTGAGTTCATGGGCGAGTGGGGATCAAACCCTGGTCTCCCGGGTCCTAGTCCAACACTCTAACCACTACAACACACTCTTTTTCAACTGCTAAGCCAAAGCTAGTGTTCATTAGGAAGGGAGAGGGTGGCAGATAGGAGATAATCATAGCTCCGTCGGTAGAGCATGAGACTCTGAAGCGCAGGGTTGTGGGTTCGAGTCTCACAATGGGCAAAAGGTTCCTGCATTGCAGGGAATTGGACGAGACGACCCTTGTGGTCCTATGATTAAAAGGCTCAGAAGCTGCACTCTCTAAACATGGTGCTTCATAAACACGTTCTGCGCACGTGAAAGCTACAAACTTTTTCCTCTTTAAAAAAAGGAAATTTAAAACACTAATGTTCTATAACACTTGCCGGATCCTGGGGTACAAAATACCGAGTGGCAAGCAACCAGAGTTGCCCCTTGCCCCCAAGAAATGATCAATTCTAGATAAACTAACAGGAAGGATTCGAAACTGGCGGGACCAGAAATTCACGGAAGACTGCAGTAAATTTACGGACTATTTGAAAAGTATTTGTGAACACCAGACGACGTTTGTAGGTTTGCAAGAAGTTTTGTGAGGAGTATTATTGGAATTATTGCAAAAATGTATAAGGGGAAGGATGATTTGTTAAAAGACTTAAAGGCAATATAAAGTTAAGAAGTGGTGAAAACGGTGGATCTTCAGAGGTGCTGATGGAAGTCTAAAAAGATTGTATATGTGATAAGTTTTGTGGTATGTTTTATAATTTATATGTTAAAATCAATAAAAATTATATATATAAAAAAGAAATGATCCATTCTAACACGTGCAAATTGATGATATTTGCACGACAGTCCTTATTTTGTCTAAACTTCTTTCTTTCTTTTTTTGCTCCTTTCTTTGCATAATTTGTGCATGTCTTTCAATCACTGAAAGATGACGGACCTGAGCAGGAGCCTTGAATCTCTTTCCTCGGAGCGCTGGAAATCTCATTCAGAAACGTCTCGGACTCCTGGAATTCCAAGCACGCCTTTGCAAACGAGAAGGACTAGAAACTTGATTTTATTCTTTAAAAAGAGAGCCGAGATTCTCCAAGAGGTAAGTTTCATACTTAAAAAACACTTGTTTTCAAATACACACAGGCCTGCATCTACCGAGGGGACAGCGGCTCTTTGGTTAATGGGCCGGCTCCAACACGAAGCTCCCTGATAAACTGTGTCAGGGGATTTCTAGGGGGAGATTAGAAGGGCTTACTCAGAAGCGGTTTGTTGATCAGGGATCAAGGTGGAGCTGGCACCTCATCGCAGGGACTCGGGAACACAATGCCAGCTCCCTGTCAACACGACCCACACACAATGCCACTTGGGATGCCCGCCAGGTTTAAAAGACACCACAAGGGCACCGGCACTTGCATGGAGCAGACAAGGGGGTGCGGGGCAGCAATAGTCATTGCTGTTATTTATTAAATCTCCACCCTGCCTTTCAGCAGAGAATCACAGGCCAGTTTACAATACAGAAGCACAAAAATACATGCCGTAATAACAAACAAAAACGATTACACTCTCTCCCCCCCCCCCCAGTTTAGAAGGCCATAGATTGGTTAATAAGATACATAATGAAAGCACCAGGCAAGCCCCGCTGGGGAGAGCATCCCACAAGGAGGGTGCCACCACAGAAAAGGCCTGCTTTCGCAGTGCCACCCTCCATACCTTTCATGCCAATGCCAAACTAATCCCCCCAGAGCGGGCATGGCCAAACTTGGCCCTCCAGCTGTTTTGGAACTACAATTCCCATCATCCCTGACCACTGGTCCTGTTAGCTAGGAATGATGGGAGTTGTAGTCCCAAAACAGCTGGAGGGCCAAGTTTGGCCATGCCTGCCCTAGAGTAAAGGATACATCAAGGGGCTTAGCTTGGTCAGGATTGAGCAGACACTTCCAGTGTTAACGCTAAATAAATGTCTTCTGGTAAATGAGCTGCTAGAGGGCCGTGAAAATTTGTGCCCTGGTCTTTTTAGATTCATCTACCCATGTACCAGCTGAAGACAAAGGGGTGCATCGGATACCAGATGTGAAATATGTTGGCATTACAGTCATACCTCGGAAGTCGAACGGAATCTGTTCCGGAAGTCCGTTCAACTTCCAAAGTGCGACTTCCGATTGGCTGCAGGAAGCTGATGCAGCCAATCGGAGGCTCCGCCAGATGTTTGGCTTCCAAAAATAGTTCACAAACCAGAACAGTCACTTCCGGGTTTGTGGCGTTCGGGAGCCAAAACGTTCAGGAAATAAGCTGTTCAAAAAACAAGGTACAGTGGTACCTTGGGTTACATAGGCTTCAGGTTATAGACTCCGCTAACCCAGAAACAGTGCTTCAGGTTAAGAACTTTGCTTCAGGACGAGAACAGAAATCGTGCTCCGGCGGCAGCAGGAGGCCCCATTAGTAGTGCTTCAGGTTAAGAACAGTTTCAGATTAAGAACGGGCCTCCAGAACGAATTAAGTACTTAACCCAAGAACCCACTGTACGACTGTATTTTCAGCTCTCCTATGCCACTAGAGGAATCTGCCAATGCGTCTCCGTGTGGGATGATGGGAGTTGTAGTTCATTTGAACAGCCGCCAGCTTCTCATCCCATGAAAAGCACACCCACTGTTGCATGTAGGGCAGGGGTCTGCAACCTTTAAGACAAAAAGAGCCACTTGGACCCGTTTCCGAAGGAAAAAAAAACTGGGAGCCGCAAAACTCGTCATTATAAAAATAACTTTTTTATTATTTCTTTGTTTGACCCCTCAGAATTACTCCTCCTCATAGAAATAAACGTTAAATTAACAAGTTACCTTTTTTTTGGTGTGTGTGCTTCACTCCTCTTCAAAACAGTGACCAGCGTACATGCCCCCTTTCAATGCAGTGACCAGCGTACATGCCCCTTACAATGTAGCGGGCGGGCGGGCGGGAAGGTGACGTCGGGACGGTGCGTGACTAACGCACGCACCGCCCCCATGCGACGTCACAGCCAGTACAGCGCCCGCCACAGTGGGGAGTGTCGGGGTGCACAATGCGCCTCCTCCCTTCACTAGTATCCACCCCGGAGCTGCAGCAAAGGTGTAAAAGAGCCACATGCGGCTCCGGAGCCGCGGGTTGCAGACCCCTGATGTAGGGGGTTACGGGTGCTCGAAACAAGGAACGGAAGATCACTTTTCTAGTTAACCACAGAATCACAGCTGAGCAACCTGCACGCCGCAGTCCCCCGCTCTGTCCGCAAAAGCTCCAATTTACAACTTGACAGGTCCTTGTTGACGGCAGGATGCTGTCCCACAGGCTTCTGGCAAATCCCAGCACAAAACCGCCAGCGCCACAAGATCAACAACAGGAGAGGGGCCCAGCTGTTAGCGGGGCTTGCAGATTCCTGGCTGGGGGCCCCCGAGCTCAGCTGCTTGTAAAGAGAAGGAGGCTTTCTAACAAGCCGGGGCTGGGGAGGCTGCCACTCACGCGCCTCCCCGGCTCTCGGCCACTGAAAGGCGACCCTGGGCAGCTGCTTGGGCAGGAGTTTCGCATCACCCACCCCAGCTGGCATGAAGAGGAGGAGGAGGAGGAAGGGCCTGGCTGGGGCAGGTAAAGTGCCAAGCCACAACCACTGGGCTCTGCACACCTGTCGTCCGAGCAGGCGGCTGTAATCCCAAACAGAGAGGCAGCTAATCCAGCCTGGGTGGGTTAAGCGGGAGGCGCAAACAGCCTGCTCTGTGCCCGCTCCAATCCAAGAGGGGTGTGCTTGCCAGCCTGGCGCCGCGACAAGCAGGAGAGGGCTGGCGTGACATTTGCCCGCGAGAAAGGGTGGCCATGAACTTCAGAACTTCCTCCCACAAACCCACCAACTGGTGTCAGGGGAGAATGTTGCTTAAACGATATACAGTACATGAAATGTTTATTTCTAAATGTGTGTATGTAGCCCTGGCTTCTGGGAGAAGCCTGGCGTTCACCCTGGCGTTCACCAGCTTGGCACTCTGCACATGCCCAGAGGCACCCTTCTTTATTATGTAACATTACTTCAAATTGCTGTTTCTTTAATGAAGCAGAGTGGCTGGTGTTGGGGAGGCAGGAGCGGGGAACATGCTAGGGCTGGAAAACCATGACGGGCGTTGCTTTTTCCTACATACACCACAAAAGTCAGTTGGGGGAGCAGAAGGGCTCTAGCTAAAGGGCAGGGCATGTGCTTCGCAAACAGAAAGTCCTAGGATCAAACCCTGACAGCATGGCAGGGAGGAAGAAGGCAGTGGCCGGCCACGCAGACAACCCCAGGTGCATCAGCCAGGGCACCGTATGACATGGCACTGCTGGGTCCCTGGAGCTGCCAGCTGCGGCTTAACCCAATGATAGCTTCCCACCGGCGCCATGCAAGTGGCAGCTACCAGGAGCCACCCTCCGGAGCACCATGCAAGGCACAGAGGTGGCTCTGTGATCAGTGCAAAGGAAAAAGGAAGGGAGGAGGCTGCCCGCTGGCACTCGCACAGCCAGAGAAAAAAATGAAGGCGGGGCTGGAAGGCAGGCAAGGCCCACCCTATCTATCATTTTTATTTTAGTTTTTACAAATAACTCTTGTATTCAAATATAATCAATTTTCTACATCAACAGGATTCTCTGAATCCTTGGACTTCCCTCCGCTCCCACCTGATTTCCAAAATACTTCCTTTTATACTGCATCTTATAATATCATCCAAACTTATATTCAAATTTCCATTTTGTAACCACAGAATTATTACCTTACAAAGTGTTATATTGGTCCTGCTAACATTTTTAACAGTGTAAAGGTAAAGGGACCCCTGACCATTAGGTATAGTTGTGACAGACTCTGGGGTTGCAGCGCTCATCTCGCTTTATTGGTCGAGGGAGCCGGCGTACAGCTTCCGGGTCATGTAGACAGCATGACTATGCCGCTTCTGGCGAACCAGAGCAGCACACGGAAATGGCGTTTACCTTCCCGCCGGAGCGGTACCTATTTATCTACTTGCACTTTGACGTGCTTTCGAACTGCTAGGTGGGGAGGAGCAGGGACTGAGCAACGGGAGCTCACCCCGTCGCAGGGATTTGAACTGCCGACCTTCTGATCGGCAAGTCCTAGGCTCTGTGGTTTAACCCACAGCGCCACCCGCATCCCAGATTTTAACTGTGTACAGTGTTCTTTACGATAATCTATATTTTTTCTTTCCATTCTCTATTAAATTTCTTATCATCCTGGTTTCTGATTCTCCCTGTCACTTTTGCCATTTTGGCATAGTCCATCTTGAGCATGCAATCTTCTCTGCTTGGGGCCTTGTCCTCCTTCCCCACCCTTGTCTTGGGCTCCGGGGGGGGGGCAGGAGCGGGCGAGTACCAGGTGGCCTGGTCAGGCTCTCCATATTGAAGCATGCAACGCCGCTGCAGCCGGGGGCAAGCGGGGATTCACGATACACCGCCTGCTCTGAAATCCATCTCGTGACTTTAACTTTCAACCGGTTTCAGGCAATGTATTGCTACGTCGCCCAAGGCTAAATGCAACACCTGTCGGATGGGAGGAAGATGGGCAGGCAGGGCACAAGAGGGGGCACACCTCCCCACAGGCCAAAGCCCCTAACCCGTCCCCTACCCATGTTTGGCATAAGAGCCACGACTCACAAAACTCCCGCTGCGAGAGAGGTGGACCTCCGAGTGCCTCCTGGTGCTGGCGAAGGTGGGCGGGTGGGCCGTCGGCTGCCCGGCCTCCTCGGTGCCCACAAAATGGGCGCAGGGATCTTCCGCCTCCAGCAGCAGGGTGCTGGGGTCCTTCTCCTCCTCGCCCAGGTAGAGGGTGAGCAGCGCCACGTCCCGGCTGAGCCGCCGCTGCTCGGCCCGCAGGGCGGCATTCTCCTCCCGCAGCTGGGCGAGGGCGGCAGCCAGCGGGCGCACCGAGCCCAGGGCCACCTCCACGCGGTGCTCGACGGCCTGGCGCCACGCCTGCAACTCCTGGCGGACTTCCTGAAGGGCCTGCCGCAGGGGGGCCTCCTCGAACAGGGGCGGCTCCGGGCTGGGGGTGGGCACCCCGGGCATGGCGCAGAGGGGCAGCGCCAGGAGACAGAGTGTAAAGGGAGCCCTGAATGGCAGGACCACAGCTCTCTGGTGACTGGCGGGGCTGAGCGGGGTCTTTTGTGTGGCCGGGGCAGCTATTCTTGTCCCGCAGAGGGACGATTCCCGGTGACAGACAAAGACAGGATGATGGAGTTGGGCCAGGTGGCTGGGCTGTGTGGGTGGGGGGCAGGCTGGACCCACTGCAGGGAGAGGCAGGGGCTGCCTTGTGATGGCAGGGGAAGGGTGCCCCCTGGGGGCTGCAGAGGCTGGTGCCGTTAGAAGGGCCGTCCTCTGGGCAATTCAGAGCAGATGAACAAGAAGAAGAAGAAGAGGAGGAGGAGGAGAGTTTGGATTTGATATCCCGCCTTTCACTCCCTTTAAGGAGTCTCAAAGCGGCTAACATTCTCCTTTCCCTTCCTCCCCCACAACAAACACTCTGTGAGGTGAGTGGGGCTGAGAGACTTCAGAGAAGTGTGACTGGCCCAAGGTCACCCAGCAGCTGCATGTGGAGGAGCGGAGATGCGAACCCGGTTCCCCAGATTACGAGTCCACCGCTCTTAACCACTACACCACACTGGTGAAGGAGGGAAGAGTGTGACTGCTGCAAATAGGGACCGGCTTTGAAAGAAAAAGATGGAAGGAAGAAGAAACGCCAACCAAGGAAGAGTGGATAGTGAAAATGACGGACTACAGTGATACCTCGGGTTACAGACGCTTCAGGTTACAGACTCCGCTAACCCGGAAATAGTACCTTGGGTTAAGAACTTTGCTTCAGGATGAGAACAGAAATCGTGCTCTGGCGGCGCGGCAGCAGCAGGAGGCCCCATTAGCTAAAGTGGTGCTTCGGGTTAAGAACAGTTTCAGGTTAAGAACGGACCTCCGGAACGAATTAAGAACATAACCAGAGCTACCACTGTATGTCAAAATGACTGGGAAGATGATAGTAAATTTAAAAAAGAATGGTATAAATTTATAGAGCACATTAAAGAACAATGTAAAGATTTGAAGATGTTAGCAGGATTGATATAGCACTTGTAAATTTTTAACAGGTAAGGGATTTATTTAAAGTTGGATCAATGTAATTAGATGCAGTTAAAATAAAATAAAAATGTATCTGTGGAAAACCAGAAGGGGGAGGGAGGAAGTCCGGGGTTTCAGGGAATCCCGCAATTGTACAAATACTGCTGGTTTTAGGTTTGAAGGGTATTAATGATGAAAAACTGAAAATATTTTTTAAAAAAAAGAAAGAAAAAGGGGAAGAATCTTGGGACATCCGAGTTAGAACCCGAGAGCCAAAATCCCGGCCCAAACAGTCGAAATGGGGTTGTTGTTGTGGTTAATTGAATTTATATACCACCCTATACCCAGAAGTCTCAGGGCGGTTCACAGAATAAAATCAAGATATAAAACCACAAAATACCTGTCAGGGGTTCAGGGACAGAGGCACAGGTGAGGGAGGAAACAGAGAGCGAGGGGGAAGAATCCCAGGGCAGCGAGGAAGAGGATGACGATGACTTGAGGGATTCCGTGAGTCTTTCAAGTGAATCGGAGGATTCCCAGAAGGGGGCGCCTGTGGTCAGGCCAAGGGGAGTCACGGGGGGGACTCGTCAGGAGCAGGGGACCAGCGGGGGAACCCAAAGTGGGAGCTGGGAGTCGGGACCGGCTTCTCCGCCAGAGCGCAGTGAAGGGGGTGGAGATTCCAGAATGACAGGAGAAGCAGGTCCGAAAGCAGAGAGGGAGGGGAGATCGGAACAAGACATCCTCCCGGAAGGGGAGGGAGTAGTGCAGGGAGTAGTGTAACTGTCAAGAGGAAGGTTAGCGGTTGCGAACGCGCGCCAAGTTCAAATGTGGAGGCGCGCGGAAAGAACAGGGAGCCCGGAGGAGGAGCCAGGTCCCAAAGCACGCAGGAGGGGGGAAGAGCTGTCTGGGGATTCCGCGTCAGGGGAATCCAGGAGGGGCGAAACCCCAGGGGCAGGAAGACCCTGCGGAAAGGAAGGAAAGGAAGAGGTGGAGCAGCACAGCCCTCTTAAACTGGTGCAGAGGAGGGACTGACTCAGAGGGGACTTCAGCGGTCTAAGCGTAACAGACGTGGGGCTGCGCGCCTCGGCTGTGGAGCATACAATGAACTTCAATAAACATCTTTGTATATAAACTGGACTTGGCGTTGGTCTCTTGTGAGCTGGACCTGAGGCAGCCCTGACAATACCTAATAAAAATAAAAACGACAAGCCTAACGCCCCCACCGCCGCCAAACACCCCCCCACACACACATTTTAAACAGGCATTGGGATGTAAATTGGATTAACCAAAGGCCTGGCACCTAAAGGTGTATAATGAAGGCACCAGGCAAACTTCCCTGGGGAGCACATAATGGTCACGTACGGAGCTGCAGGGCAGCCCTGGGTTCACAGGTGTGTGGGTACGATAACTACTGAAAAAAACCATTCAGGGATAAAGGAGACCATCCCTCCTATCACGGAGGCAGGAAACAAGTCATGCCAACAGCAGAGGAGGCGATCAACTTGTGTCTGAAACGCATCACTACAAATCGCAGGCGAGGAATCATATCGTCAAATGGGGACCCCTGCAGTGAGAAAGCTAGTACATGGAAAAAAGGAACCTTTCTTCCTGAGGAGCTAGCTTTCCCTGTGCATGGATTTTTTTAAAAAAATGCTACGGGGGAGCATTTAAGCACTCAGTCCCCTACCTGCTGTCTGAAGCAGCACAGACGGGCACGGCCTCCCTCTGCTGTGGCTGCGAAGCAGGGACAAAATCCCAACCCACCACCTAACTCCTGGCTGCCAACGCTGCTGGACCACCCTGCTGCTTGTCTCAGTCGTCTGACACGCTGCAAGGCAGCAGAGGCGACGAGTGGGGAAACACACACAAACACAACACAAAGTCCCGACGCAGCTGCCGCTGCTCAGGTGGCCTGGCCGAGGTGCAGGGATATTGCTCCAACCTGAAGATGCGGGCTGGAGCACAGGAATGCGGGGAGAGGGACGGAAGAAGGAGGCCAGCTCCGCTCACCTGAGCAACTATTTCCAGGCCCAGCTCCAGCCTCCTGCACAGCTTCCTGAATAATGCACATGGCTGATGAAAAGAGCGAGTGATCGGATTCCCGGCCCGGGCGAACGGCCCTCTGTTGTTGTTCTGTCCCGCTCAGAGCACCCCCTGCCCTACAAACTGCCTGAGCTCCTCCTCGTAGCCGCAATCTCGCTCTTCACTTCCACCCTCCTGGCCGGCTGCCACACACACACACACACACACACACGCACACACACACACGTCCTGGGACCAGGATCCTTCCCACGCTCTCACCTGCAGGGGACGGCCACCCAGAGGCCCACCCGGAGCGAGTTGGCACAACTCTGTCGCCCGTCGGTGCAGCTCCTCGCGGCAGCCCACCCGGATTCCGGAGCCGCAGGTCGCCTAATGCCTTAACGAGAGGCGACAGGCCGGCAGGGACAAGCGGGACAAGGCATTAGGCTAATTAGCCCGGGCAGGAGAGCTGCCGGCTTGCTCCACAACCAGGCTGTGAGAGGCAGCCAGGGCATGGCTGGGAGCGCTGGCAAGAGTTGCAGTGCTGGTTCAGAAAAGGGCACCGCAAATGGTTCACGTCCCCCATGAGGGAAAGTTGCAGCACCTGGAGTTTTTTTTAAAAGTTTAGAGCAGGGTCTTTAAGCTGTCTTCAGACTACAACTCCCATCATCCCTACCTAGCAGGACCAGTGGTGAGGGATGATGGGAGTTGTAGTCTGAAGACAGCTGGAGGCCCAAGTCTGGAAACCCTGGTTTAGGACTATAATTCCCATCATCCAATCTAGCAGGACCGGTGGTCAGGGATGATGGAGTTGTAGTCCCAAAACAGCTGGAGGCCCAAGTTTGGGAAACCCTGGTTTAGAGGGAAGCCGAGTAAGATTGAGGTGTAAAAAAATTATGCCTGGCAAAGAGAATGTGGATAGAGAAAAGTTTGGTCTCTCTTATAATACTAGAACTCAGGGACATCCAATGAATTTTGAAAAGATTCGGGACGGAAGGGAAAAAAGACCCTCTTAATGCAGTGCATAGTTAGACTGTGGAACTCCCCGCCCACAGGAGTTGGTGACGGCTTTAAAAAGAAGATTGGGCAAATTCACGGAGGAGAGGGCTATCCATGGCTACTATAGCCATAGGGACTTCGCTCTGGTTCCACCACTGGAGGCAGCAAAGCTCCCGAATCTTGTGCTGGGGTCCTGCTTGTTGGCACCTGCGACCCTTGTGAGAACAGGATGCCAGACATTAGACGGTCACCGCCTCTCCTGCGCAAGCCCAAGCTGTGCCCTTTGCTCTGCCTCTCGCAGCTGCAGAACTGACGCAGCCCTCCGCCCTCCCTGAGGCTCCACGCCTTCGTGGAGGGGCCAAGGGGACTTTTTAAGTTTTCCCCACCTGCAGAAATAGGCATGATCGAAGGAAGGAAGGAAGGGAGGGAGGGAGGGAGGGAAAGCAGAAGAAGGGAAGGAGCGGGAAGACTCACCTTATTAAGGCTGGAGCTGCTGCCGCCATGGCTGGAGCTGTTGACGCTGCTGCTGCTGGTGGTGATTCGAATGGGAGTGCTTCTCAACCCCAGGGTGAGTTCTGTGGCATGGGGAGAAGGCACAGGTGTGAGAACCAGCGGCCAGGGGTCGGGGCAAGAGGAGGGCTCCAAACTGGGGCTTCGGGATTTGGCCAGCTTTTAAGCCCGCAAGTTGCCAGTCCGCATGAAAAGCACAAGATACTAGTCCACATTAAGTTCTGAAGTTAGTCATTCCCTTTGTAGAAACAAGCTGGCCCGGGTGTTCCAAGGCATACCTGAGCTAAAGAGCACCAAGTCCCTTCTCCCCAAAGCTGGCGCCCTACCTGCTTGGCAGGAGTAGGTAAGGAACCACAAAGGACACAAGCCGGGGAGGGCTGTTTTGTCGCCAGCGTAGACTTGGCGCATTGCCACCTGCCCTTCTCCCCAAGCCCTGGAGATTTGGT